CCGCGCAGTGGACCAAGTGTGCGGAGTTTGCAACACTGTTTGTGGGAAAATCTACAAAACAAGCTTGTATTGTTTGCACCGGATGGGTGTGCGAAGGGATTATCAATGTTTGGACATATAAAACAAAGCTCCAGCAAGGGGTGCTAAAGACGGGCAGCGAGCACAGCCTGTACATAGGATTATTGACATAAACTCGGCGGCCGACAGGGATGCGCTCTTTGTCCTATACCATTAATTGTGTGGCTCCAAAAATCATACTTGTTTTTTGTGATGTGGTATACCACTGACATCCACATGAATGTAAGCTTGACAGACATGTTTTATTGGTGTGTATCAAATGTTTATATTTAACAGGTGCATCATTTCGAAAATGCGGCAAAAGGGTGTTCGACTTGTGTCCTTCTTATAAACTCCCCATGAACATTTCTCTTGAGATTTCCTCCCTTAAACACAACGTTCTCACAACGTTCTCACCACCTCTGTCTGTCGCTATGATACGTATCACTGACAATACCTTAGAAGCTAGGAACTGTAAAAGTGCTAACAATAGAAATATGTTGGACATTAATCTCACAAAACATTTTGTAAACGAGGCTGATATCATCCCTATTTGATAATGAATCATAAACACATGGACACCCTGCATTCGCCCACAAGTCACTAAGAACAAGGCGTCTCATGTGGACACCCTGTAAAGAAGCACCAGTCTTTGACAAGCAACCAACCAACCAACCAACGACAAGCGCTGACCTATTGGGCGAGTAGCGCTGACCGCTGTCTGCAATGTCCCTATGTACTCGCCCGCTAGTCCCGTCTTCACTGTGGACTCGCCCGCTGGACGTGTAGGCGCCAGACCTATTGGACTTGTATCGACTGATACGGCAAACGGCATGTGCAGGAGATAAATCGTATACACGATGTTATGACCGTTTTTGTAGCAGTTGCCTAACTGTGTACTAAAACAGCCTGGTTCACAGCTCAGGTCGTTGTGCTGGGGGAGTGTACATCTGTCCTCATCTTTCACTCGCAGATTAAACCAATCAGACGGGTCGGAGAGGAATCTGCTGACTCATCTGTAATCTGAAACATTTGTTTAAGAGAGATGTGTGTATCATACACGAATGCTATTGCCTTTGTTAAGGGGAGTTTACGGGTTCAGTTAGCAGCTGATGTTTTCCGTTCCAAAGACACTCCATGGATAACACGTCACTCTCCGAGGATAGATCATACTCATGTAGGTGTCAAGTATCACTGATTAGGAACCGACAATTTATATTCTCGGGAGGGGGGATTGAAAAACATCAACCGTTCCAGAAAATACTGTAAAAAATAATTTTGCCTCAGGTTATACAGCCAAATAAAATGTTGGCTGGTCGTCTGGAGAGAAGTTTTTATGTCTTAAAGTCGGGGATCCTGTGTTGATAGTACTTGGTATCTGACAGGGACCGCGTGGTGAAAGCACATAGTATCAGACAGAGACCACGTGCTGAAAGTACTTGGTATCTGACAGGGATCCGTGGTGATAGTACTTGGTAACTGACATAGACCACGTGATGATAGTACTTGGTATCTGACAGGGATCCGTGTTGATAGTACTTGGTATCAGACAGACCACGTGGTGATAGTACTTGGTATCTGACAGGGATCCGTGGTGATAGTACTTGGTATCAGACAGAGACCACGTGGTGATAGTACTTGGTATCTGACAGGGCTCCGTGGTGATAGTACTTGGTATCTGATAGGGCTCCGTGGTGATAGTACTTGGTATCAGACAGACCACGTGATGATAGTACTTGGTATCTGACAGGGATCCGTGGTGATAGTACTTGGTATCAGACAGAGACCACGTGGTGATAGTACTTGGTATCTGACAGAGACCACGTGATGATAGTACTTGGTATCTGACAGGGATCCGTGGTGATAGTACTTGGTATCAGACAGAGACCACGTGGTGATAGTACATGGTATCTGACAGGGATCCGTGGTGATAGTACTTGGTATCAGACAGAGACCACGTGGTGATAGTACTTGGTATCTGACAGGGCTTCAGTGCTGATAGTACATGGCATATGGTTTCTCCGAGGCGTGGAGGGGTGCTCTAGAAACTGAACTTTAATCATCTTACTTTGCACATTCTTGGCTTAGATGTTTACGCAGTGTGATAAAAGCTTGCTTGTAAGTACCTTCACAGGCAGACAAACACAGATCGAGTTGCGGGAGGAATGCGGAAGGGGTACGATACCGCTAGCACCGTGGAGAATTTGGCTCATTCAAGCTCTTTCTTACTATTAGCATCGCAGCTAATACTGCAGCAGAGATCGACAGAAGGTGTCGGGTCTGCTTAAAGCGTTAACATAGCAGGCATCAGCTAGACAACTTCAACTAGATATACAAGTCTTTACTGATACATGCATGTACCAGGGCACAACAGCAGGGTATGCACAGATAACCATGGCCGGGAAATATAGACAGATATCACACATAGCAGCACGGATATAGGTGAAAGTATTTTCAGGAATCCTCACTGAGAATTGCAATTTTTGCTTCTTGCTGATTGGCTAGTTCGTTCCTGAAGGTCTATTGTTTTCATCGTTTGCGAGGAGGCCCATGGTAACGTTACGTCACATAAACGCATTTTCACAAATAATTGATCATCACTGTTCATAATCTCACAGACTATTAAATGTGATTGTGCTGATGTCTTCAAATGAAATCAGGAAACACATTTTTTCTTCGTTTCCTCAGTAGTGAGTGAGTGAGTTGGGTTTAACGCCAAATTTAACAGTGTTCCAGTTATATCACGGCGTGTCAGCTTAATGTGGGAGGAAAGCCCGAAGTGATGCAGGTCTCGGACGTTTACCACTTCGGTGAAACCAACGAGCACGGGTATGGTGCTGACAAACCTAGAAACATAATCGGGATTCGAACCCACAATCATAGGTTTCTGGCGTGCCCAAGGAACGCAACTCTGCAAAGCGAATCGCGGCGCCTTTGACGACTAGGCCACTCGTGCCCGCTGTTTCCTCAGTAAAAGGGATTATGAGTAATGAAAAGAATAATCAATTCGGAATGACGGATTATCTATCCCACGTGAATAAATGTTAAAAAGTTCCTCGCCAAGGCTTAGAATTCACAAAATTATTTCATTCAGGCAAATAATCCGTAGTTTTTCAAATCTCGGAGGTTATTCTGTAATTATGGTGTGTCTTTGAGCTATTGCAAACAACGGGACAACGACTGTAATGTGACGGCTATTGCACGCCCTTTCTGTATGACGCCCTTTCTGTCCTACAATTTGATCCCTCTCGTATGACGCCCTTTCTGTCGTACAATTTGATCCCTCTCGTATGACGCCCTGTCTGTCGTACAATTTGATCCCTCTCGTATGACGCCCTTTCTGTCGTACAATTTGATCCCTCTCGTATGACGCCCTTTCTGTCGTACAATTTGATCCCTCTCGTATGACGCCCTTTCCGTCGTACAATTTGACCCCTCTCGTATGTCGCCCTTTCTGTCGTACAATTTGATCCCTCTCGTATGACGCCCTTTCTGTCGTACAATTTGATCCCTCTCGTATGACGCCCTTTCTGTCGTACAATTTGATCCCTCTCGTATGACGCCCTTTCTGTCGTACAATTTGACCCCTCTCGTATGACGCCCTTTCTGTCGTACAATTTGATCCCTTTCGTATGACGCCCTTTCTGTCGTACGATTTGATCCCTTTCGTATGACGCCCTTTCTGCTGCACAATTTGATCCCTTTCGTATGACACCCTTTCTGTCGTACAATTTGATCCCTCTCGTATGACGCCCTTTCTGTCGAGCACGTTCATCTGTCGAGCACGGCCTGTGTGTCGCACAAGAAGATCTCTTTGGTGTGATCAATGTCGTTCTATACCCTTTACATTTCAAAATAAATTAAAAGATCATTCCTCCTGGAAAAGACTAATATCACAGCCAGGGACGCTGCCAGCCATGTATGTGAACATTCCATGCACCGTTTATGTTAGCTGCGCTACTCATGGCTGCTGATACCGTACACGTCACATTTAGACGTTCATAGTTACAATTATACCTCCAGTGTCGAAAAATATTGTACATACATTCATCAACGAAACTAATATATTTGACATGTAAATGATAAATAGAGTCATTAATGCCTCGGCAATCAATTACATTCTTGAACGCTCTCACGTGGTGGGTCTTCCTCGGTCACCCTCGGCATCTGTCATCTTCTCAGGGGTCAGCTCAAGAATGTTTATCATCACATGACTTTTCCTTCATCAATACCATTATAGACATAATGTATATGCATGGGTTTGAGACGCTCCCCGGAAATCCACGTTCAATCAATTATGATGTATAATAGTGTGATGAGCCTAATTAGAAGGTCACGGTGTCATAATTTGGCCATATATACTAGCGATATATGTACGCCGGGCAGATGTGCCCAGGGCATCGAAGTGGACGCTCTCCTGACCAAGCCCTCCCCTCGAACATACACTCCTTCTGTAGGTAACTGTTGGAAGATATGTTGGGGATATTTCCTCATTTAGAAATTGGATGTATATTGTCCCATGGTGTAGGGCAATTTATGGTACAGTTGTAAAAACGGGCGTGACTCATTGTATAGAGTTGTGCCCCTTTACCGTGCTAGGATCCGAAATATGAAATACGATCCTGTTTTGATCTTTGATCTGTCAGATTCTCGTGCTTTTGGTTTCACCAAAGTGGCAACGTCTAAGACCTGCATCTTGTGCACGTTTCTCCCATATTAAGATAACATGCGGTGATGTCATACTTTTCAAAAGTCGTTAAACCCTACGAACTCGCCTGTTTTTCCTAATCATATATATCTTTGCAATGACTTTAGCTGTAAGGGGTGATCGTGCACTGTTGACGTTCAAACATCAGGGTGACACTGAATCGTGGACGTCCATCCCGGGGTTCGTTCGTTACTTCATTTCTTCCTTCTTTCATTCCAAGCTGTTTGTTTTCCAGGTGTGAGCGACAGACAAGCTTGATGATGCGACCGTGGTTGTTAGCCCTGTTCCTCATGATTGTAGGAGGGGCCTACTTGGTGCGCGCGCAGGGTGAGGTTCAGCCGGAACCCGCCACCTCCACCGCCGAACCGGAACCAGTCTTCAATGCCAGTAAGTTGACCCAACACGGTAAACGTCCTGGTCGTACATATGGAATGGGATCTGTGCAGTGTTCGAAATAGACATGAGCCCGTATCCCCGAGGCCGACAAATTTGTTCATGGGCTGAAAGTTTTAAATTTCGGCAGCCCTCACAGCCTGCAGTTTATTTAAGTAATTATTTATTGAGCATTATTTAAGTAATGTGAATAACATAACTTTCATGTTTATAAACAGTAGTTTTAGACCTTTGAAATGGTGTATGACATGTAGTCGGAGAAATGTTTTACAAGCTGATTACTTCCTGATGTTGGCAACATCTATCACCAAGTCTCGGGGACCCGGTGTGACAGCAGTAAAAGGTTTCTGACTGGTTTTATATTGTAATGTATAATGCAAGAGTATGCTTCAGCTAAAATGTTTGGGCCTACAGTTTTTTCCACTAGGCCTACGTTTGTTAAAATGTGCTGGCCCTTACGGTTCTCAGTTTACTCTGCCTGACATTGGCTTTGTGCCAAGATTACAAATGCAGCTATTCATCGTGCAAATGATTTTGTTCCTTTTGCTAAACATCCTCCCTTGTGGTTGGATGAAAGGTCGTTTCTCAATGAAGCAAAATAAAATCTTGTCGCATTCAAAATTAAACTACCCCTCTTGGCTCAGTCCTCTAAAATGCGGCAATTCGATGTGCAGAGATGCGTCCCTAAGGCGTGTAGAAACCTTTGACCGTGGGTTCAATCCCTGTTCGCCCTGATATGGTTTTCGGGTTGTGGGTTCCACCAAAGTTGTAAACGTCTAAGATCTGCATGAATGTGGGCTTTCCATCCACACAATCAGCTTACACGCCGTGATACCCGAAATACTGTTCAAATCAGTCAAACCCTTCTGCTTTGTTTCGCCTACACGAATGCTTGCTGCGGAAAAAGGTAATTCAAACTCTGAGAGAGCCACTATTCTGCGTGTTGCCATTATGACTACGACAGTACAAGTAGATGGAATAACTACCGGAACCAGCGCCGTAGAGCAATATACAAAACTTAATTATGTAAGCAGCTTGTGACATGGTGAAGTTCTGGCCCAGACCCGCTTCCATACCTACGCGCTTACTTGCGCTTTACTTACATCACGTGTATAAAAACATTTTGTAAATCATAAATTTGAAGATAAATCAATATCAATGTATCAAATCAATCTCATTTTATTCCATTATCCACATGTTATTCAACATTTCACTTTTATGCGTCACTCAATATCAACTGCCTTTTGAAAAGATAGAGCGGGCGCGAATTGCTATTTTACGGGTGCTTCAATGACTTACATGGCATAGTTGCTATTGAATGAAGTAGTTCCGTTAATACAAGCGTTCACTTTCTCACGATCTGAACTGCACTGCTTGCCATGTGGTCTTACGTATCCAAATGAGAAACGTTTCTAATTGTTGCTACACGAGTTGGCAGGGCCTTTGAACGCAAATGAACAAATTTGAAGTATTGATTTAAAAAATAATTGAGCATCTCATAATATTGTACTGAGTTTTTATACTCTGTGGACCTGAGCGTTGCCTATAATTAGTAGATTATTTAACAAGGTCACCCAAAGCAAAGACGCCTTTATGGTGGCTGCCTGGCATAGTGAGAAACGGGCACTGAATTACCGTGTTTATCGGGAGTTGTGTCGTGTGGTTTGTGACGCGGTGTCCGGCATGTCATATTGAACATGCCTGTTGGCCTATTGCTGTCTCAGCCTGTGTAGTGAGTGAGTATGGTTTTACGCCGCTTTTAGCAATATTCCAGCAATGTCACGGCGGGGGACACCAGAAAATGCTTCACACTTTGTGCCCATGTCGGGAATCGAACCCGGGTTTTCGGCGTGACGAGCGAACGCTTTAACCACTAGGCTACCCGACCGCCCTCTCAGCCTGTGTTACAGTGACATACAGCTGTATGTTATATCAGCAATAACGCTTCGTATTTCGGGGTTCCTGCTGTCTTCCCTCATCCTGACAAGTACATAAAGCTCGTGATGCCTTTTCTTAAACCCTTCCCTGAAATCACAGAGTACATGAAACTGAAGCTCTTTGAATTATAGAATCACAGCTATGTTAGCATTAAAATACTAATCAAACCAAGCTATTAACGTGGTCATATGTGCATATATTCTGGAAAACAAGTTAGGCTCCATCCTTTCTGTATTTCAATTTATGCCGAACCATCTCTTGGACCTTTACAGATGACATTGATCTGATGTTTATTAGTAGCTAATATGTCACTGATACCTGATAAACAGTTGTTGTTTTTATAAGAACGCTGCCTGTTCCTCCAGATGTTACTAGGACTGGGTCATATCACATGATGGCAAGGGGCAGGGGATAATCAAATAGCTATTGCCATGGTTACACTGCATCTCATTGGCTCAGTACGTTTTCTGTATGTTAATAGGAGTATGTCACTGTATGATATTAATACAAGATTCTACTTTTACAACGTACACAGGTTAGTTTACGTGAATATATTATAAAGAGTGAACATGATTATGGAATGTTGGTTCCTGTCGCTTTGTGTCAGCTTCAGTATAAGGCTGTAATGACGTTTTGTCCTTGTCATTGTGGACCAATCTGAATGATACACTCAGTTTCTGATAGTATGACCAATCGGTAACTGCTGCTTATCATCCCGACCCGTGAACATCCGGGTTAGAGTAGGTCTTCAGCAACCAATGCTTGTCGTAAGAGGCGACTAACGGGATCAGGTGTCAGGTTCGCTGACTTGGTTGATGCATGTCATTGTATCCCAATTGCGTAGATCAATGCTCATTGGGGCGGTTGGGTAGCCCAGTGGTTAAAGCGTTCACTCTACCGAAAACCCGGGTTCGATTCCCGACATGGGTACAATGTGTAAAGCCAATTTCTAGTGTCCCCAGCCGTGATATTGCTGGAATATTACTTAAAGCGGCGTAAAACCATACTCAATCACTCACTCACTCGATGCTCACGATGTCAATCTCTGGATTGTGAGGTCCAGACTCGATTATTTACAGACCTCCGTCATAAAGCTTGACTATTGCTGAGTGCGGCGTTAAACAACAAACAAACTTATTATCCATATTTATGTTGCAGCCGAACCAGAACCGGAATCGACGGCTGAGACGGTTGCCGAGACAACGCCCAGCTCCACCGCGCATGCGTGTTTACACATGCTCAGCTACGTCGTGGTCTTCGTTGTCATGGTGATGGCACAGTAAACCATTTCAGCAGCTACGTCATCGCTTCAAATGTGAAACATATCGCAACAATGTCCTTGCTCATCGAGGAGAGTCGACAATTTCGGAACAGTAATGACGTCATAGGAAGACATCCCGAAATGTCAGAGACGTCACTTGACCTGATCCGGCCTTGAACTCTGACCTCCAAGGAATATCATTCATCTTGTACGACCATCATCACGCCCATTGAGCCATTCCTTGTCATCACGATATATCCTGTCATGTTGATGTTTGAGTATTTGATCGCACACGTGCCTTTACTTCACGACATCGACAGGCGATAGATATAGGTACCAGTGTCATTCCGCCATTGTAAATGTGTACTCGATTGTGTCTTGTGTTTAACTTATTGTCCAAGCTATGTGTTTCTGATTGGTTCGTTGACGTGTTGTCGGTGTCACGTGTTCTTTGTAGTAGAAGATCCCATCAACCAGGCCCACGCGGGAAGCCTATGTGTTCAAATGTAAAAAAATATATATACATCTTTTAGATACCTAATAAAGTCAGCTCTTGTGAACTCGTCTCTGACTTGTCCCAGTTCTTCGTGCGGTATCGGGCACTGCGTCTGATGCATGTGTTTTGTGAATATCGCTGCATCTTTAACCAATGCAGACACATAGCCTTTGCACAAACATCTTAAGCAGTTGCATAATCATTATTTTAGCCAATTGGCGCGCGCAAACACACACACACACACACACGAAGCTACGCACGCACGCACGCACGCACGCACGCACGCACGCACACATACACGCACACACACACGAAGCTACGCACGCACGCACGCACGCACACATACACGCACACACACACATACACACACAAATTTAAACAACTCTCCGGGGACTTGTTCACACGGACGAATCTCACTGTATTAACTTAAACACGTACGGTGACACATTCATTTCAGGTACATGTAACTGCTTCCCTGCTCTGCTTAAAAGACGCGCGTATTTATACATATATCTATGTTAACATATATACATTTCTTAGCGGCACGTTCGATGATATATATTTAGATATATATATAGATATATATTTATTTAAAAAAATAAAAAATTATCTCTAGGATCATTTCATGACGGACGTCACTTTTGTCACGCACACGCACACACGCACACACGCGCACACGCACGCTGATGTTATTGCGTATAGTGATTCTGGCAATGAATTAACGATCATCAAACAAACTTATGAAAAAATACATTTAATACTGAAAGTCTTGATGATAACAGAGTTATCATAAATAAAATACCGAGGGAAATCGTGTGTCTGTCTACAGTACGGCGGAACGTAGTGTGTACAAGACCGGGAAGTACAGGCGATGAATAGAATGTTGTGCATATAATGAACACATAATGAACTAACAAAAACATCAACAACAACGTCATTCCTAAGCTAACAATTGAACATCACAATGTACATAAAATATATCACAGTGTTGTTTATGAAAAGAGCATTTAAAGGGCAAGTAAAGTGAAAAGAATAATCGCGATTTTCTTGAGAAAATCAATATTCCGAAATTACTAACATTCTGTGTGGGTAATGAAACACCAGCTGGCCTCGGCCCAATACCAGACAATAAATTCAGCGATTAATCCCCTGAGTAAACAACTGAAGGAATTAAATTGTGGACACGGAAACCTAATGGATGAACAGACAGAACAAAGACATTGTGTATTAAAAAATCCTAGACAGCGCGTCAAACACCAGGATCCCGTTTTGACCCTATAAAGGAGAATCCCCTCAGTGGCGGAATTTTTCGTTTGGAGGACGATGTATGGTCTGTTTTTCGCTTTTTCCGTTTTTCAAATTAAAGTTTGGTCAAGCATTTGTGATTACGTATGCCCTAAAGTATTAGAATCTGCATAGTTGCTATGTTGACTCTACTTGCCCTTTAAGTATCATCGGAGATGGATTCATGGTAAGTCAGTGACACTGTCGCATGTCCGAGATCATATACCCTAGAATGCCCCATTATATCACATATCTACATAAACTGTAATGTCGGCTTGTTTCCAGGAACCAGGAACAGCGTTACTCTGCATAGCACAGCTAATATGATAGATAATACGCATAGTCTCCGCCCACACACAACGTGCTACCACATAGAATCAAAGCACAGCTTAAAGGTAGACATCGGCCGCTCATCCCAATCGCAGCTCTCTCCCCAAACGTGACTTACATCATCATGCTATTTGACTTTCTAAACATGTCATAACTGGTAGTGACAATACTGGTGTCACGTACAGGAGGGAATACCAGTGTGACGTATTAGGTTACATGTTGATTTCATAGGTCTTCCAGCTTTTGGGCATCGGTTGCTGGCTACCTTTAATATAAAGCCTTATCCAATGAGAGTTCGACATTTGAACAAGTTGAGTGCAGTACCGCCCTGATAATGTATCGGCGGTATTAAACACAGCAGGGTGAGCAGCACCTATATTTTATACGCCCTCCTTTTTGAGGGGTTGTCCATATCCTCAATACAGTCGAGTCGGACCGTTGTGCAAACTCTCAGATATATAGGGACACACCGTTACCCTGTTTTATGGGTCCGTGGGCTAGAGGATTTGACGTCGTGTCCTCCCTACCGTCAAGTACCTGTGTATGCTCTGCGCAAACATTGATTCAATACTTGTACAAGTACGTTCCAACATATCACATTGGCTTTGACAAGAGAGTGCGTCTGGCACATGTGGGTTATGTAACACGCATCACATCTAGATTCTACACTACATGTGCGAACATATTTCAGTAATTGATTATACACATCGCATATTAATAATAAATAAATAAACACTTCTACACGTATCAGATGTACTGAGGAAATCAACAACGAGATGAAAGTTAAATTCAATTAATAGTATTACCACGGTACTATTCAACGGAGAGAACGTTTCTTCAGAAGGAGGATTCCAGTAGTCTTCTCCACGGTGTCCCGGAAGCCTTGTTTAACAGATTGAGAAACAATGGCGGAACGTCCTGAGAAGCTTGTGTACCGACATTGTTTGTCCGTCCGAGCTAGGGTTTCACTGTTGATTGGTAATGCCGTTCAACTCATTAATTACCACAATTTTTCAATTTCCACACTTTCATGAAAATATGACATCATTTTCCGTGTCACGTGACATCATAGCCCGTGTCATGTGACATCATAGCCCGTGTCATGTGAAGACGTCCTACTTCAATCCACTCGGCTTATTCCGTTACATAAGATTCACGTGATATGAACACGTGACAGTTGGGATGTGCCGAGTGACAACATCTATGTCCGTCAAGAATTGTCGGCTCGAAAATATTTACATTATCCTATTATAAAACATGCCTATATGTTGTGGTTTTTGACATCAATTTAAGATTAGAAAGGCTCACGCCCGTGTTCCCGAACAAAAACAGCTGCCTTAACAGTGGTCTAGGGTAGTACTTACTAAGTCATCCTGATTTACTCAGTCCACCGTGCTCACTAAGTTACATACATGTGATGAGTGAGTGAGTGAGTGAGTGAGTGGGTTTAAGGCCGATTAGAACATATTTCAGTTATATCCCGGCGCGTCAACTTGATGTCGGAGAAAAGCCAGTGATGCACAGTTTAGACAAGGGACACCTGTATGGTGCTGACAAACATATAAATATAATCGGGGAAAACCGTGATTCGATCCCAGGATCATAGGTTTCTGGCATACCCAAGGGACGCAACTCTGCAAACTGGGCCACCACCCCAGTAGTGACCACATGGTGGCAAAGGAACAAACATCCACTCTGGCTCAATGACACAACACGGAGCAAGATGTACGTTAAGCGTACTCCACGTACTTATGTCAAGGTCAAGAAATATAAACGTGTTTTTAATTCGAATTCGAGACGAAATCGCAGGATCCCTTTCCTTCAGTTCATTATATCCGAAGTTCGCTATGCAAATGCACATTGCCATTGCAAGTGCGGATAACGCCGAATAGTCTTAATATACACCGTAACACTCGGAGCTGATTCGTACGACACTCCCGACACATTCTCAAATCCATCAATGTTTCTAAAGCACTGGTGCAGTTGTCGGGTAATATATAGCACTGTACAAATATCCAGAGACGTCCACTGGTCACGGCACGATCGCGCTGCCCTTTCAGTCGTAGTCCCTGGGTTCACAGGAGTCGGGGATGAGCAGGGCGCCCGCGATGAGGATGAGGAGGTAGCCGAGGACGGTGAGGCCCATGGAGAAGGAGACAACGTACGGGAAGGGTACATAGGCGAGGCACAGGCACATCCCGATGAAGATTATTATACCTGAAAGAAGGATAAAACAGCTAGGAATCATCACCAGTATCCCCGCTAACAATATCATCACCATCATTATCATCATCATCATCATCATGACAACCAACCGCCATCATGAGTGTCATCGCAAACATCATCAATAGGGGCGGTAGGGTAGCCTAGAGCTTAAGGTGGTCACTTAGCCGGCTGATGCCCAGGATCGATTCCCTCACATTACAACGTGTTAAACCCGTTGCTGGGGTATTGATAGATTCAAAACGCAACGCGTTCAAAACGTTGCTGACAACGGCGTGAAACAATACGCACTCATCATCATCATCACCATCGTCATCAAAACAATAATAATCCTCAGTGAGACCATGCTCGTCGATCAGGGGAACGGGTTGTACAGTGGCGTAAAGAACAGTTATACCCGCATGGTTCAGTGGTAGTGATTTCGAATCCCATTTTAACCACCAACGTCCGGAGATATCAGACAACGACAGGAACATCGCTACACCACGGGGTGAATCAGAGGTGCGATGTAAATGTCATTACGCTGTGAGGGGACATAAGATATGTCCACAGGACGTCACTGTTTCTTTTTTAACCAGAATACTCCCGAGACTAAGACAGCTTGAGGGCTGATTATAGTCGATATAAATTTAATTGTTGAATGTTGTTTAAATATCAGTACTTGTATATAAGTAAATCCTGAGCTAAGCCAGTAAAATATTTATTTACGTAGCAAGCATGAACAAAGAAAAGCGTTCCTTGCTTCTTCTTTTATTTAGAGTGAGTGAGTATGGTTTTACGCCGCTTTTAGCAATATTCCAGCAATATCACGGCGGGGAACACCAGAAATGGGCTTCACACATTGTACCCATGTCGGGAATCGAACCCGGGTCTTCAGCGTGACGAGCGAACTCTTTAACCACTAGGCTACCCGACCGCCCCTTTTTTATTTAGAACAAAATCTAAATGTTAGTCATCAACACGAGAATATTATGTAAAAGTGTATCACTTACCACTTATACATAGACACATTCATGTTGAGATGGTTGTTATATTTTGTGCATTGTATTTCCACAAGCACACCTTGAAAATGCCAACATCTACATATACTTGAGTTGTTTCATCTTTATTATATTCCTTTAAATGAAGTCTGGTTCTCCTAAATAGCCAGGCCCTGACATAAGATACATTATACGTTATTATGTAGAAGGAAATACTTTGTGGATCAAATATAAAGAAAGAACGCAGACAAGGGGCGCAACACAGGTATACTACTCAAAGAAGAAGAACACCCGATTGTTTGATAAGACTTTATGATAGTTAATCAGTCGTGGCTGGGTGGTATTACTACACACGACCTTTGAATTGTGGGCCACGTGAATGTCTACGGTATTGCTGATCATTGTGGCAGGTGTGGGGTGGGGGCGTTGTGGGCGGGGGGGGGGGGGGGGGAGGGGGTGTCGGTGGAGGGGCATTTACAGTCCATGCTGATCTGTTGGAATCGGGAACAAAGAGTAAAATCAGTGTCACTTGAACGCAACTTTTTCATCCATCAGTAACGAAGACGTACAGAGACGTCATGGCCAGCTGGTGGTAGCGTTCATGCTGTGAATACCCATGCATGCTCTTCCTGGAATGTCCTATGCATACTTTTCCTATAAGAGTGGCCTATGCATGCTCTCCCTATCAGGATGTCCTATGCATGCTCTCCCTATAAGAATGTCCTATGCATGCTCTCCCTATAAGAATGTCCTATGCATGCTCTCCCTATAAGAATGTCCTATGCATGCTCTCCCTATAAGAATGTCATATCATGCTGAACATTCATGCCACAGAGGAGACATCTGATTGACGTTGGAAGAGGACGGGCGATTGCTCGGATTCAGGATGTTATATCTTACGTCTGGAGGGCTGGAGATGCAGGTATCCACTTACGTATATCATTCACGCCCATTGACACCTGTTTACAGCCACTGGCAGAATGTATGGCGTCCCCGTTCTGGACGTCCTGGCAGACCTCCCAAAAACATGACCGCTACCTTGTTCTCCAAGCTCTCAGACAGGCACCGGTACAGCAAACACCCTCAGGTTATAGATACGGACTGCGAGTAACACCGTGGCTAGTGGCCAGACTGTGAGGAGCCGTTTAAGACCATCGAACCTGAGAAGTCGACCACCTTCACGACCAGCTCACAGAACAACACGTCTGGCTTGGTGGAGACATCTGCGGTGGAACTGACAACAATGACCAGGGGTGTTGGTTACAGATGAGTCCAGATTCTGACTCCAGTTCAATGATGGCTGGATACGGAAGGTCCAGATTCTGACTCCGGTTCAGTGATGGCAGGAAAAGGGCCTGGTGTCGTCCTGGTGAGGGATTTACTGATGCAAGCATAAGGGTACGTCTTCCTTTGGGTGGAGATTCCGTGATGGTGTGGGGAGTGATCAGTTGGCATCATAGAACTCCTCTGTACCATACTGCAGGGACTCTGAATGGTGTCCGGTGTCGCGGCGAGTTTCATGAACCTTTTTTGTTGCCTCTTGTGATCGGCCAAGTTTCAACCCTTCAGGACGGTAATGCCAGACCACACCGCGCTTGTGTTGTCACTGACTGTCTCAGACACATGCACGTTCCCGTTATGCAGGGGCCTGCATATTCCGCAGACCTAGTGTCCATATTGTTATATGGCAGTGTAATGTATTGCTAAACAATGTTCTAATGGTTCATAGCAATGTGTTTTGACAATGGTAAGTTGTCAAGAATGTAATACTATCTAATGGAAGCAGTGATGTGGAAGCTACTATATGTAGAATTATGCTTTTGGAGACAAGAGTAATCTAGAATGTTTTAGAACAGCTAGACTTATCCGGCACTGTATAGAAACTACCAGAAGTTATTTCGAATATATAAGGGGGACGTAACATGCCTCTTGCATCTCACATTACACCAAGACCAGGGCCTATTTTGGAAGTCTAGCTACTGTTGCTGCTAGGTGAATATTATTACCAGTGATATTATACTGTATACTGTCATTGTAATTTTACTGCAATTGAATTTTATACTGCCTCTACATTGTGACATGCCAGTAAATTACTTTGCAGTAATTTGTATAGATCTGTAAACCTACATAATCTTGAAATACAATTGTTAATTGTATATCACTTCCGTGTTGTTTCTTGGTTTCACACTGAATCCTTCAACGTGCAGATTCCTATGTTGACTTATCGTTTCAATTTAAAAGCCGAGAGAAACAAGAGAACAGCGTTGGGAAGACATCCATCCTCCTCCAGAAAACCTTCAGCAACTGGTAGGATGTCTTCAACCCGAGTGGCAGGCAATACCACGAACCCTTCGGCTTGTCAGTTCTATGGGCAGCAGATGTCAGGCTCGTGTTGCTAACAGAGGCGGTCATTCCCGGTATTGAATCAGGCCTTAACCTAAACAAACGTTAGTTTGTGACCTTCGTTTCAAAGTGACCGCGCATGGAGCACATTTCTCTGTGGGACGGTTTGCCAGTGTCTATTCCTCCTTTAGAAATGAAGGGATTAAATGTTTACCTCCTGATTTTGGCTGTGTTTTGGGTCGACACATATATGGGGTTTTTTTTGTCTGTTCTTTATGACATGTTTGGATGTTCCTTTACTTGTTTTGGGCAATATACACAAAACCATAGATAACAGTATCGACAGTTTTAGAACTTACACAACACGTAAATTAGAAAGGATACTGAAACATGCACGATGCGCCCGTGTTCACTGAACTAGAATCTTGAAAGACATACAATATGGTGCCTGCATTTGAACACTGGGTTAAAAAACTGATTTGTTGGTTAAGGAAATGAATTTGATTATGAAACGATGAAATACTTAGGTCAACAGAAACATTAGTTGCCTGGAGTAAAACCTCTTTCTGTGCATCATATTACCTGCCAGGAAGCAGAGGACCATGGCCGTCCTCACGATTGTAGACGTCTTCATGGAGTCGATGAACACGTAGACGCCGACGAAGAAGACTAGGAAAACGGCGATGATGAGGCCGATAGTCTCCATTATCCGCATCACGTTGAATAACGCTGAAATAGAACATGCAGCTCTCAATAAGACATAGGTTGGCATTGGATGTAGTGTATCTAGTGACGACCATCGGGCGTTTGTTTAACGCCACACTCAGCAATATTCCAGCTATATGACGGCTGTCTGTAAACAATCGAGTCTGGACCTGACAATCCAATGACTGACATCACGTGCATCGATCCACGCAAATGGGATACGATGTCATGCATCAACCAACCCAGCGAGCCTGACCACCCGATCCCGATAGTCGAATCTAATGACAAGTACGGGTTGCTGAAGACCTGTTGTAACCCGGATATTCACTTGTCGATAACCTGGAAAGGTTCTACACTGCCTGTAGCAATATTCCAGCTATATCACGGCTGGGGTACAATGAATTGGAATCGAACCTCGATGACAAGCGGGTGTTTAAACCACTAGGCTACCCACCGGGTCCGTGGCTTCCACCAAAGTGGTTAACTTCTAAGAGTGAGTATGGTTTTACGTCGCTTGTAGCAATATTCCAGCAATGGCACGGCTGGGGGCACCAGAAATGGGCTTTACACATTGTACCCATGTGGGGAATGGAATGGCGTGGCGAGCGAACGCTTTACCAACTAGGTTACCCCACCGCCCCTAACATCTCAGACACTTCTAGGTAACACATCGTGATATAACTTACATACGGCGTTAAACCCACCACACACTCCGGTGATTTACCATGTATGTCGGGGTAACGAGTGGTACAGTCGTATAAGGCGTCTCATGGCAGAGTTCCTTCCAAGAAACCTATTATTGTGGGTTCGAGTCCTACTTTCGTCCTGTTTCTAGGTTTATCAGCACCAAACCCGTGGGTTTCACGTAAGTGGTAAACTTGTAAGACCTGCATCACTTCAGGCTATCCTAAACATGACACACCATGAAATACTGATAAAAACGGCAACCAAATATATGTAAAACGCCAAAGCCAGAACATAACCGATCACGGTTCATTGGCAAATAGCGGTGAAAAGTACACGAATGGATCACTGAAAATCAGTGATGACACCAGGTGTTCGCAGAAAGGGTAAGCATGTCCTGCCCTACCGGTAGCCCCCGGCACTCACACAAATATGTACATATGCTTGGATGACAAAAACAGAGAGGCGCCATATAGTTGTCTGTGTTTCGGGCCAAGCATATTTTCGTATGAGCCCGGGCCATGGCATGTAGGGGGAAAACTCATGGTGATGAAGGTTCACAACTTTCATGCAACTCACAAACATTAGCGGTAGACATTAATCTGAAACTAGCGTGAATCGTGATAACAAAAGGGCAAGCATGTCCGCCATACCGATACCACCCGTCACTCACACAATTGGCATAAAAAAGTATGTCTTTGTTGCCTGACGCCGCACTTCAGTACTTCGGCCATGGCATGTAAACAAACCAGACGATCAAGTGATGGGCCAGAAATCCATTCACGCGATAGCGCATGCACTGATTTATTTCTTTAAAAACTAACACCGATAGTTTTGAATTAAGTCTGCTGTGAAAAGTGCAGAGATTCTGCAACTTATAAGTCAAGAAAAACGTTCAAAAAATATTTTCGTTTTGCCACGCTCATGCACTCACTTCATCAACACAACACAACACAACACAACACAACACAACATATAACAGAACACAACTATAAACTGACAATACTAACTGTTCACATAGGCGTCCGTCACGGAGGCTGTTTGACAGACAGAAGACTGACACGCGGTGATAGTCCACAGGCCGAGATTGACTTTAGTCGCCCCATCACTGGACTGGTACACCACCCAGCTTGTGGTAGCATACCCCGCGATGTCCAGCACTGCCCCCAGGATCAGAACAAACAGGGCCAGTTTGGCCCACCCTGAAGCGTTAGCGAAACCCATGGCGCTCTCCACGGAGATAAATCCAACTGTCCTATTCCACAGTACACTTTCCTAGGTTGTCTACTCAGAAAAATGGCGATCGGCACTGTCACTATTCCGTGTCACAATCCTTTTCAAGCGAATTCATTTATCACCTATAACGTTCCCGCTGTCACAGAAGACTGTCACATAATATGGCGGATTTCTCAGCTCTCGCGCAGCTCAATACGTCATCTATATTAGAAGGTAAATAGATCTCTTCTGAACGCTTTATGATCGTTTGTATATTCCCACAGGGTCATGCATTGTGTGTTGTTTATCTACAGCCGTTATGAATAGCCGTGAGTCGTCTCGCGCGGGGAGACGGGGTACACTAAAGAAAATATCCGAGCCCTTCGTCTGTACGTGGGGCCGATTAATGCGTTGTTTATGTTTAGACACCTCGAGCTTGACAACGCGTTCGTGCGAATGTGGCTCAGCGTGTAATTCAGAACTAAATGTGAACCTCGTTCACTACAAACACTATTCCCTTGTAGCTTGAGTTATAACCAGTATTCCCTTGTTATTTGGGTTATAAACAACAGCCATGTGTTACTTGGGTTATAAACACTGTATTCCCCTTGTTACTTGAGTTATAAACAATATCCATGTATTACTTGGGTTATAAACAATATCCCCTTTTTGCTTGAGTTATAGACAATATCCCCGTGTTACTTGGGCTAAAAAACTGTATACTTGGGTTATAAACAATATCCCCTTGTTACTTGAGTTATAAACAATATCCCCGTGTTACTTGGGTTATAAACAGTACCCGCTTGATACTTGGGTAATAAACAGTATTCCCTTGTTACTTGGGTAATAAACAATATCCCCATGTTACTTGGGTTATAAACAGTATCCGCTTGATACTTGGGTAATAAACAGTATTCCCTTGTTACTTGGGTAATAAACAATATCCCCTTGTTACTTGGGTCATAAACATTATCCCCGTGTAACTTAGGTTATAAACAGTATTCCCTTGTTACTTGGGTTATAAACAGTATTCCCTTGTTACTTGAGTTATAAACAATATCCATGTGTTACTTGATTTATAAACAATATCCCCGTGTTACTTGGGTTATAAACAATAGCCATGTGTTACTTGATTTATAAACAATATCCCCGTGTTACTTGGGTTATAAACAGTATCCCCGTGTTACTCGGGTTATAAACAGTATCCGCTTGATACTTGGGTTATAAACAATATCCCCGCGTTACTCGGGTTATAAACAGTATCCCGAGCGAACTAATCACTTCAGTCCTTTAAGTCAAGAACACGTTGTGAAAGTCGTCAGAATGCAACTCGTATACCTGAAGAGCTTTGCACCTCCTTGAACTACCCGTGGAGACATTGAGAAGGTATAAAAGCGATCTATAGAGACACGCAGGCAACACTCCCTTTGTGCGGACAATACCAGTAAACTCTCTACATACTGCCAAATAGGACGATATTGCCTAAGCAAACAGTACTCCATGAAGGAGTGCATTGTGAAGCGAGGACATCATCAACCTTGACTCGGGTATAAAATTGGCGAGGTTTGATTATTGCATTAATGCGTCACCTCGCCCGATGACTGAATGTGCCACGACATAAACTTGCTTTTACCAGGCCTCTATTGCAACTGCCCAGGGCCCGCCCTGGTCAAGCATTATCTGGCCGTGTCAATGACGCACTCTCCAAGTAATTTGGTCCTATGATATTAGGAATGGACACGTGGGATCAATAGAGAGTCGGTAAAGAGTCAATATATGTGGGTTTACTGTATTAGTGGGAATCAGTGAGCGGAAGACTTCTTTGGATTTGTAATATGGCTTCTTTTTCACTTATTGTACTATTCTGTGAATATATTCAATGCCTCTCAGAAACATTCTCCATATTGACGTGGTTAGTAATTAGCTGAAATCCTAGATACGACAACATGCACATCTAGTTAATTAATTTCTCATTCAATGAAAGAAGTCCATATGACGATACCGACAGAACCCGTGCTTTCAAACGGCCATTCCCAAGCTGAACAGAGCCCTTCTCCCGTTAGTACCACACCCATGTTGGTCAGGCCCCGCTACCCATGTGTTAGGGATGTCACGATACGACTTTGTCCACGATACGATACGTATCGCAATGCTTTATTCAATTATCGTGTCAATTTTGCGTAATTTTATATATTTCATGGGGCATACACACTATTAAAAAGGCTTGAAATAACCTGAATACCTGGCCCCATATTTGAAATAAAAATGTCTCATTTTAATCAATAATTAATTTCAGATAAAACTGGAGTGGCAACATAAGTACTCTTATATTTTTAAATGCAATAATAAACCCCGCGAAATACCTCAGATGCGCACCTTCTAATTTAATAAATGAAATATGAATGAATAGGTCCATGGGTGAAACGATTCGGGATTAAAATATGATTCGATACAGGTAAGTGTGTATCGCGTATCGTATCGTTTGAGAATATTATTGATTCATGTACTGGTGAACTGTGACATCGCCACCATATGTACACTACCGTATTTCCAAGCTACGCGAGCAAAGTCCTGCTACCCGTATTCCACCCAGATATAAGTCATGCTGAACCACCCGATTTATCCCCTAGTTCTCCACATACCAATGAAGCCCACCCTTCTTGCCCGCACCAAAACAAGAAACACCCTTCTACCCTTGCACAATCTTAAACAAAACGATTACGATTCCTTAGTCTTTTATTATCGACGTATATTATCAACTCCTCCAAGTTTGTCTGTACAGGCGAAGCCCCCCTAATGTATATTTACAATGCACTGACTCGTAGCCGTCAAACAAGGGTGACGAGTCAATACAGCTATCTACAGTGTCGGCAGTACGCCAACTGTGATTCAATCCACCTTGAAGTGACACGCCCCACACTAAGTAACGAATTTACTTAGTTAATAGAGTTCATTGCAGAAGTTGAACTTAGTATGTACTATATATGAAAATGTTCAAACAGGTGTAATGTCTAATGTGTTTGAACGCAACTTTGGTCTGTGCAAAGGGTGTATATTGAGTCCGTTTCTATTTTCATTTTTCATACATGAGTTAGCACAAGCACGGTTGTGCAAACGTTGTTCAACTGCTTCTACATGGTGTTGAACATTTCTGTTATTGGAAAATTATATAATCATGTTCTGAAGCACAGCTGGTGACATGCAAAAGCAAATAAATGTATTAGAATGAATGGAAACTCACTGTTTTAAAAATCTAGTTTTAAACTTGCCAAAATGTGACATGTTCCTTTAAAGGTGAAACTTTGGATGTAATTACGCACAATAAATGTTCGGTCTGTCTATCAGGAATGTTCTTACATCGATGAAGTTCAGTGTCGGTGTTCTGCAGTCCTCGTTAGGCAGTCTCGGCAGGAACGAGACTGTACGCTCGGAGCTAGGACAGTGACCTTCACCTAGGGACGGTCACAGTGACACAGTTACGTGAGGCGTATTCATGGATGAGTGAGTAAGCGAAATAGAACAAGAATACCAATATTTTCTCAATTGAACGACCTCCCAAGGTAACGAATTGTTACAGCTGGGAGAAAACTCCTGAGACAGGCCGCCACCGCTGTAAAGGTGTCTCCACCATTTTCGACAGGGCATTTGGATCATGATAACGTAAAATAAAGTTACACGTTTCAAAGAGATGGCCGCCTACCGAGATACATTTTGTTTGTTTTTAACGCCGCACTCAGCAGTCCTGTGAATAACAATTGAGAATACAATGATATGCATCAACCAAGTCAGCAAGCCCGACCACCTCTTACGACAAGCATAGTCGCCTCTTGGGGTTGCTGAATGGGTTGCTGAAGACCTATTCCAACCCGGATCTTCACGGGCCACCTGCTACCTGCTTATGAAGACAGGGTGACGGCCGTCTAACACAAAGGTCACGAAGGTCGTAACTGAAACCCTGGAACCAAGTACTGACGTAGTGGACAAACATCACCATGGCTGGGGCTGGTGTTGAGAGACAGGACAGATTCACCGTGACGAGCACCAAGTCATGCAGGATCAGGTGTGTCTGGAGGCCACGGGGGTAATGGCTCTCGACCTGCGTGGGAAGACGTAGGACGCAGGGAATCACAGGTGAGGTGTAGCAGTGTACGTAACTGTATGAAGGGATGCAGGTACGCCCAGGTAGGTTGCACTTTTAGCATTGTATTTGTTTGTAGCCTAAGGTGCAGGCTTCATTTAGCCTGATCTGCACTGAATCAGACCAGGAATACTGGATAATTGCCGCATGGTTCAGCGTGTTAGGTAACAGATATAGTGTGACTATAATCACATAGTTAGCGCATACCTACTGAAGTCAGCGCATACCTACAGTAGTCAGCGCATACCTACAGTGCACTTGTATAGCATGCACGTGTGTGTGTGTGTGTGTGTACTAGTCCGGACTGATGCCGATTTATAGTGCTAGCTCACTGAGATACCATGCCGCAGTTTAACATGAATACCTCACTCAGACACAGTATACTGACTCCGAGCCGACAGGTCCTTGTTTTAGCCCCTTAATGCCGAGCGCTAGACGGGGTCACAACCTTTTAACGTCTTTTGGTATGATGCGGCCGGGGATCGAACCCCGGACCTTCCGTTCCCTGGGCGGACACTCTACCACTAGACCACGGAGCCGGTCTGTAACTTTACAGAGGGATATAGGGTGTGAGTATGCTGTGCAAATATTGTGTGAGGAAAAAGTGATAATTGTATGATGTAAAACTTTAGAACTGTTGTTTTGTGTGTTTTAGTCCAGGTTGACCTATAGAGGCCCTGTGTAGCGAGGATGGAGCTGGTCGTCTTCTTCACTTTCCTGACGCTGCCAGGTAAACTCGTCACTCAAACCACACGTCACTACAACAACCACACGCCACTACAACAACCTCACGTCACTACAACCACGCGTCGCTACAACAACCACACGTCACTACAACCACACGTCGCTACAACAACCACACGTCACTACAACCACACGTCACTACAACAACCACACGTCACTACAACAACCACACGTCACTACAACAACCACACGTCACTACAACCACACGTCGCTACAACAACCACACGTCACTACAACAACCACACGCCACTACAACAACCTCACGTCACTACAACCACGCGTCGCTACAACAACCACACGTCACTACAACCACACGTCGCTACAACAACCACACGTCACTACAACCACACGTCACTACAACAACCACACGTCACTACAACAACCACACGTCACTACAACAACCACACGTCACTCAAACCACACGTCACTCAAACCACACGTCACTACAACAACCACACGCCACTACAACAACCACACGTCACTACAACAACCACACGCCACTACAACAACCACACGTCACTACAACAACCACACGTCACTACAACAACCACACGTCGCTACCACAACCGCACGCCACTACAACAACCACACGTCACTCAAACCACACGTCACTCAAACCACACGTCACTACAACAACCACACGTCACTCAAACCACACGTCACTACAACAACCACACGTCACTCAAACCACACGTCACTACAACAACCACACGTCACTACAACAACCACACGCCACTACAACAACCTCACGTCACTACAACAACCACACGTCACTCAAACCACACGTCACTCAAACCACACGTCACTACAACAACCACACGTCACTCAAACCACACGTCACTACAACAACCACACGTCACTCAAACCACACGTCACTACAACAACCACACGTCACTACAACAACCACACGTCACTACAACAACCACACGTCGCTACAACCACACGTCACTACAACAACCACACGTCACTACAACAACCACACGTCACTACAACAACCACACGTCACTACAACAACCACACGTCGCTACAACCACACGTCACTACAACAACCACACGTCACTACAACAACCACACGTCACTACAACAACCACACGTCACTACAACAACCACACGTCGTCACTACAACATTCACACCCTTGCAACATCAACACAACATTATCTGTTACCTCTTTACAGCAAGAGAAGGTTTGCAAGAGGAAAACATGTGCATTGTTCTCCATGTTTAAATAACACGCCGTGACGGTTGCTTCACTCGGTAATTACCCTGATGCGTGCATGTACATATAGTTTCTCCCTACAGTGGCAGGGATAGCAGGAACATTTAATATACTGGCAGGTAGTGTTCTAATGAAGTGTGTCAACTGATTCACACACGCTACTTAAGGGCCAATTGCAATCACTCATTCAACAAACGAACCCATAGATACCGCGTGTAAACATAGTAACACCCACATTCAACCTCCATGGAATCAACATTCAACCTCCAGGGGATTCCACATTCAACCTGCAGTAACACCCACATTCAACCTCCAGGGAATCCACATTCAACCTGCAGTAACACCCACATTCAACCTGCAGTAACACCCACATTCAACCTGCAGTAACACCCACGGAATCCACATTCAACCCCCAGGGGATTGCACATTCAACCTCCAAGTGCGTCGACATTCAACCTGCAGTAACACCCACATTCAACCTCGAGGGAATCCACATTCAACCTGCAGTTACACCCACATTCAACCTCCAGGGGATTCCACATTTAACCTGCAGTAACACCCACATTCAACCTGCAGTAACACCCACGGAATCTACATTCAACCTCCAGGGGAATCCACATTCAACCTCCAAGTGCGTCCACATTCAACCTGCAGGAACACTCACGTTCAACCTCCAGGGGATTCCACATTCAACCTGCAGGAACACTTACATTCAACCTCCAGGGGAATCCACATTCAACTTCCAAGTGCGTCCACATTCAACCTGCAGTTACATCCACATTCAACCTCCAGGGAATCCACATTCAACCTCCAAGTACGTCCACATTCAACCTGCAGTAACATCCACATTCAACCTCCAGGGGATTCCACATTCAACCTGCAGTAACACCCTCATTCAAACTCCAGGGGATTCCACATTCAACCTGCAGTAACACCCACATTCAACCTCTAGGGGATTCCACATTCAACCTCCAAATGCGTCGACATTCAACCTGCAGTAACACCCACATTCAACCTCCAGGGAATCCACATTCAACCTGCAGGAACACTTACAATCAACCTCCAGGGGAATCCACATTCAACTTCCAAGTGCGTCCACATTCAACCTGCAGTTACATCCACATTCAACCTCCAGGGAATCCACATTCAACCTCCAAGTACGTCCACATTCAACCTGCAGTAACATCCACATTCAACCTCCAGGGGATTCCACATTCAACCTCCAGGGGATTCCACACTCAACCTGCAGTAACACCCACATTCAACCTGCACTAACACCCACGGAATCTACATTCAACCTGCAGGGGATTCCACATTCAACCTCCAAGTACGTCCACATTCAACCTGCAGTTACATCCACATTCAACCTCCAGGGTATTCCACATCCAACCTGCAGTAACACCCACATTCAACCTCCAGGGGAATCCACATTCAACCTCCAAGTGCGTCCACATTCAACCTGCAGTTACATCCACATTCAACCTCCAGGGGATTCCACATCCAACCTGCAGTAACACCCACATTCAACCTCCAGGGGAATCCACATTCAACCTCCCAGTGCGTCCACATTCAACCTGCAGTTACATCCACATTCAACCTCCAGGGGATTCCACATTCAACCTGCAGTAACACCTACATTCAACCTCCAGGGGATTCCACATCCAACCTGCAGTAACACCCACATTCAACCTCCAGGGGATTCCACATCCAACCTGCAGTAACACCCACATTCAACCTCCAGGGGAATCCACATTCAACCTCCAAATGCGTCGACATTCAACCTGCAGTAACACCCACATTCAACCTCCAGGGAATCCACATTCAACCTCCAGGGGATTCCACAATCAACCTGCAGTAACACCCACATTCAACCTGCACTAACACCCACGGAATCTACATTCAACCTGCAGGGGATTCCACATTCAACCTCCAAGTACGTCCACATTCAACCTGCAGTTACATCCACATTCAACCTCCAGGGTATTCCACATCCAACCTGCAGTAACACCCACATTCAACCTCCAGGGGAATCCACATTCAACCTCCAAGTGCGTCCACATTCAACCTGCAGTTACATCCACATTCAACCTCCAGGGAATCCACATTCAACCTCAAAGTACGTCCACATTCAACCTGCAGTAACATCCACATTCAACCTCCAGGGGATTCCACATTCCACCTGCAGTAACACCCTCATTCAACCTCCAGGGGATTCCACATCCAACCTGCAGTAACACCCACATTCAACTTCCAGGGGAATCCACATTCAACCTCCAAGTACGTCCCCATTCAACCTGCAGTAACATCCACATTCAACTTTCAAGGGGAATCCACATTCAACCTCGAGGAAATTCATATTAGACATCCAGGAACATCTATATTCAACGTGGAGGGACATATGCATTCACCCCGCAACAACGTCCACATTCAGCCTGCAGGAACATTCACATTTAACAAGCAGGGATGACGAACCACTATCAGTGACTTATGTTAGATGCAATATGTGAAACACAGTCTGCCCAAGGTGAGTGCGTGAGTGCGTGCGTGCGTGTGTGTATGTGCGTGTGTGTGTATGTGTGTGTATGTATGTGTATGTGTTCAATCTTTGATTCCTGTCTGCCCAGGTGTGGCATCTGTGTGAGGGGGCGCATTGTCATGTGTGTGCATGTGTGTGTGTTCAATCTGTGTTCATGTCTGCCCAGGTGTGGCTCCTCTCTGTGAGGGGGACAAGCTGTGTATGGCCGCCTGCTCCACCAAGCCCCGGGACCACGTGGACGACTGTCTGGACGTGTGCAGGCAACATAGCTGTAACCAGACTGAAGTCCTGACACCCACTAACACAGGTACAAGCGAATGGGTTGGATGGAGTTCATCCTTCTTACCCCGGTCGCCCTGGATACACCATTTCTAAAGGTAGAAGAGTGCCGAGCATAAAGATCCCATATTGACGACCATTCCACTGTAGGAAATAGAACATCAAAGATAATACTGATTGTGTGTAATCTCGATATGGTTTGGTCAGCTGGTTTGTATCCATTTTCAAGAATGCGTTTAATCTGCCACATGTTAATGTCTGTTACCCATGCATAATAATTACAACTCTGTTTTCAGATGGCCCTGTTGTCAGAGATCCTATCTCTTTCCCCACAAGATGGCTGCCCACCATCATAGGGGCGCTCGTCGGTGTAGGAGTCCTGGCTGCCGTCATCTACTACTTCCGGTAAGAGGTAGGTTGTGTACTTCTTCCGGTAAGAGAGTACACTGTACACTGTGTCGTCGTCTACTACTTCTGGAAAAAGGGTACACTGAGTCGTCGTCGTCGTCTACTATTTCCGGTAAGAGGGTACATTGTGTCGTCGTCTACTACACCCGGTAAGAGGGAACACTGTGTCGCCGTCTTCTACTTCCGATAACAGGGCACACTCTGTCGTTGTTTACTACTTCCGGTAAGAGTGTACCCTGTGTTGTCTTCATCTACCACTTTCGGTAAGGGGGAACACTGTGTCGCCGTCTACTACTTCCGGTAAGAGGGAACACTGTGTCGTCCTTGCCATCTACTGCTTCCGTTAACAGGGCACACAGAGTTGCCATCTACTGCTTCCGTTAACAGGGCACACAGAGTTGCCATCTACTGCTTCCGTTAACAGGGCACATTGTGTCGTCTTAGTCGTCTTTCACAATTTCTAGTAACAGAGTATACTTTGTGATCTACTACCGATAAGATGGTGATGCTGAATAGCTTCGTGTACATGTGACATAAAAGCCTGTATTAAACCTGCAGTATTTACCTACCACGTGATACTATGCTATATTACATCTAACATTGTGTCTTCCCCTGACAGGAGGAGCTGGTCGCGGCGGGATAGGTTCCCAGGGTACGGCTTCTCCCGACTACGGAGGGGGCGTGGCAGGGAGACAGACGTCGCGCTTAGAGAGATGTCCTCAGTCGCCACCTAGTGTCAGCGTCCAGCAGCAGGCGATTAACACATCTGTCTGTGTGTCACAACACCATTTGTCTGTATGTTGTAACCTTTTGTTAATAAAGATATTTTAGATTTAGTTGTCCTTGGATTTTACGAATCCGTGACTGTTTAGTCCATCCAGTCAATCTATAAATAAACATCTTTAAATGCAAAGCAATGATACTTCCATGAGTTTATTTCTCCAAATAATTTATTCAGACAATAGAAACATGACAGTTGAAAATTACTTAAAACACAGCCATGATAGCCTGCCTTTAAATTAAGAAATGACAAAATATGATATTGCCAAACTCCCTGCAGGATTTCACAACCTGAATATGAACACACATATTAGTAAGCAACATATATTATACAGTGTGGTAACGATTTCTTCCTGAGGTCAAGGTCAAGGTCAATATCATGTCTTTGGCTGTCAACATTTGCTGGGTAGATTGTGATGCATCATATAAACAATCAAATTTAAGATATGTAGATACAGCAAAAGCTGTTATCGCAAGGACTGTGAATTTAACAATCTGATCATGTCAACGTATATACCTTTAGGAAACAGCTATTCACTGGTATGAAACCCATAGTTACCATCTGTAAGACAACTGAAGTCAAGGAGTACATGTTCATTGTTGTAAATGTACAGGTGTCAAAGTTCTTCCTTGGCCTGGCTTTGATCCTTGTTCTCTCCGTCGATGAGGTCGTAGGGGTAGCCGCGCATGATCGTCTCGGCGGTATCCCTTAACATGTCCTTAAACCTGGTGGTGAAGTCGTACACGTCGGCCTGGTACAGTTCCTCCCAGGTGACATGGTCGTCGCCGTCAGTGTTGAAGTAGTCGTACACCTGTAACACATCAGGTCAGGTGAGGCGAAATGGGGTTTAACGTAGAGTTCAAAATTATTAATTAAAATTTTAGTGCGTGCGTGCGTGCTCATACTAGTCCAGATTAACGTTGTTGAGATACCATGCCGCGGTTTAACATAGATATCCAACTCAGACAAGTACACTGACTCCGCGCCGACCATCATTGTTTTAGCCCCTTAATGCCGGCAGGTACCAACAAATATCATCTTCAACAAATGTTATATTTTGGATTACAAAGTCTAGTATTCTGTTCAGCTCTCCGGACAGACACTCTATCCACAAGACCACGGAGCCGGTCCTCTGGACACAGTAATCCTTACATTGTAGGTATAATAGGTTACATCTTATTACATATGGATAGTGCTATCTGTGCCATAACCCAGTTCGATAAACTTGGCATCATTGAGACATGGCGACGGATCATTATTAACGTCATCATGCGTGTTGTGGCCTGCATTGATTCACGAGGTGGAGACAGTCAACCGGAGATTTACGACTTTGCAGTGACTTACGAGTCTGTTGTTACACATGTGTTTTAACAATGACGATGTAAATGGTCTCATTTTGTATCTAATACTAAAACATGATGCTGCAACGCCACTCATTAAATATGTTTTAACATTTTTTAGCTTTAATGTATCTCAAACGTCAGTTTATGTAATATATAACTATATATTATGCCCACTAAAGGCTTGCGAGTTGCCATTTCTGTTCCTAAGATATGATATCATGTTGAGTCATTTACCTGATTTATAAACCTATCATGGTGTTGTAACCATCTCCCAGACGACCTTTCTTTTGTAGTAAGAGCACTCAGCAGGTTTTACAATTGCTCCTCAGGTTTTACAATTGCTCCCCAGGTTTTACAATTGCAATTGTAAAACCTGGGGAGCAATTGTAAAACCTTACAAAGTGTCACCAAAACGGAAACAAAAGTCATCCTCATCCTTTTCTGCAGAATTTTCATCAATTAACTTACTTTGAGTAAGGAAAATACCGTCATCGTCAGACATCCTCTCTTGTGAACAGTCAACGACACAATGCCATGTGGTACGACGCACGCGGTTCTTTCTGCACGTACAGCCCTCTTCTGCACGTGCAGTCCGCGCAGCGGCCCGCGATAACAACTGTTATAAAGCGTGTCTCGTTATACCGCGCTTATTTGCGACCCGTATACCGCGTAAATATAAGCTCCAAAAATGTCATAGATTAATGGATAGCAGTTTATAAGTTGGACAAACCATTCCACCTCAGGAATGGTATGATTGTATAACCGGGGAGGCACAGAAAAGCCTCGGACCCTACGCGTCCTCGGCTTTTCTGTGCCTACCCGGGTATACAATCATACCATTCCTTCGGTGTCATGGTTTCTCCATTACTTAAAGTTCCACTAGAAAACTGATACCCGCAGAATACTTGCCATGAGGCGCCCACTACTATGCTAGAAGTATAGAACATACATTGGTACAACAAGAGGGAAGGTGGACACGCACCTGCTTGGCATACTGTACGTCCTTCACCATGTAGTGCAAATTGTCCTGGTAGATTCGGTCCTTCCCTTCCAGTTCCGAAAACAGGTTAAGTCTGAAGAGGGAAATACAGAAAACTAACACTGTGTGCAGACACAGACACAGATACAGACACAGACACACACAGACACAGACATAGACATAGACACAGACACAGACATAGACACAGACACACACAGACACACACTCAGACACAGACACAGACACACACACAGACACACACTCAGACACAGACACAGACACACGCTCAGACACAGACTCAGATACAGACACAGACACACACAGACACAGACACAGACATACACTCAGACACAGACACAGACACACGCTTTACGTGGTTCTTGGGATGCTCCTGGACCTGACCGCACCTGAGGAAGTTCTGTGGGGTTATGGGTGGCGCCTCATTAAGGGGGAGTTGGGTGGTCCTCTCACAGTCGGTGGTGTTGAACCACAGAGGGTGTTCGAACCACACGTTAGAAGCCAGATTCCGGCCTTGGTGTGAGTAAACCTGGTGATACCAGCTGAAACACAGAAGGAGTGAGTGTCGGTGACTTGTTCAGGAGAGGATACGAGTATCGCTAGCACTAGAAAGGGTTCAGCTATGAAGGCGCCCACCCCTCCTGGTAAACTTACGAATCATATCGATGCTCGGAACTTGAATCCGAAGCCTGCATGAAGCAAACGCGTTATCCACCGGACTACCCACAACACATTGAGGTGTTTAAGTTCTTTTCGAAATGCTACATTGATATATTGATTATTCCCTGGACACTGTTGGACTTGACAATTGTACAATGTTACTCGAGATTTATCTCGAGGTATGTACAATTATTTTTTTTCCATTTTTTGTGCATGATATCGTTACTTACTTGGCCGGTATAAAGAGACAATCTCCTTTTTTCATCTCAGCCTTGAGCCAGGGAATGGATTTGAACTCAGGAAACTTGACAAGGTCGACCCGGTCCACGTCCACTGTGCTAAAGCCTCGTTCTGAGTTGAACCCGGAAGCTTCTATTTGAGGCTTATATCTCTGTATTAAAGTAAAACAATGTGTTGTGAATCCAAACGTGTGAGCCAGAAATTCATTTATATAAAACAACTCTTGTTAGGAAATATGGGGACAAAGGTGGCGCAGTCGTCTAAGGTGCAGCGATTAACTCTGCAGAGCCTTAGGGCACAAAAGAAACCTATGATTGTGGGTTCGAATCTGAGTTCGCCTCGATTATGTTTCTAGGTTTGTCAGCACCATACCCGTGCTCGTGGGTTTCACTGAAGTGGTAAACGTCTAAGACCTGCATCACTTCGGGCTTTTTACCACATTAAGTGAGTGAGTTTGATTTTACACCGCTTTAAGCAATATTCCAGCAATGTCATGGCGGGGGACACCAGAAATGGGCTTCAGATACAAGTATTGTACCCATGTCGGGAATCGAACCCGGGTCCTCGGCGTGACGAGAGAACGCTGTAACCACTGGGCTACCCAACCGCCCCCTCTACCATATTCAGCTTTCAAGCCGTGATGTAACTGGAATACTGTAAAAAGCGGCGTTAAACCAAACTCACTCACTCCTGTGAAGAAATAAGCAATGAATGGGCAAGTTGCTCCGCCGCTATCAGCAACAGTTCAAGATGCATCATCACAGGCCAGGATAGACACATTAACCACTACAGCCATATTTTATGACAAGCATTTTGTCGGAATCCAGAACGAAAAGTTCAGGTATTGGATGTAAGTGGTTAAGGAGGAGATTTGTATTTAGATTTTATTATTATTTATAGCAAATCGGAAATGGAGAACTGCGTTGTTATTCCAGCAGCGCATATTGGTAGACGTTTCCAACGGGACGAGCCGTAGCTCCGAACAGAAACACATAGAAATACTTATATTGAACGATGGACCGATCATCGCCGTACATCATATCCAAATTTCATAGATCGATTCACTTTAAGTCAATCACTGGATTGTCTGATTCAGATTCAATTATTTACAGCCCGACGTCATATAGCTTGAATGTTGCTGGGTGTGGCGTTAAACAACAAACAAATAAAACGAAACTAAAATCAGACTTTCCTCCCGTCTTGCGCTGCCAAGTGATATAACTAAAATAATGTACATGGCGACGTTACACTCACTCACTCACTCACTTTGTCAATGAAAATAAAATCTTTGGTGCCGTCCATGAGGCAGTTGATGTTGTCCATGGAGTCCGAATGGAGCACGGACTTCGTCCCGCCACTGCTGAACCAAAGGTTGTATAACGTCATCAGTTTCTGCGTTCCTCCACACGTCACAAATGGCGGCAGGAATATGTCCTCTGAGCGAAAGAAAAGCACGAACTGATTTCGCTTTCATTGGTCAACTAGAGTATGTACTGTCCATGACGTCCACTCCTACACGTCCTGGACACTCTGGCCTGGAGATGACCCGTGGACAGAAAGAGTCTCTTTCTAACACGGTTAAAGTGCTCGTTTGTCACGCCAAAGCCCGGGTTTGATCCCCCACAAGGGGACAATGTGTGAAGCCTATTTCTGGTGTCTCCAACCATGATATTGCGCCAGAAACGGAACGGCGTAAAAGCATACTCACTCACTCACTCTTCCAACAAGGATTACTGGTACCGGTTCTTGCTTCTTTGCATCAGAATTGCAAAGCAGTACAAAAGCTAGATTGATGACAGGGTGTCGTCAGCAACATCACGGCTACATCAAATAATCATCACTAGGTTTAACAAGTTAAATGACCGTTCTATTCTACAAGTTCTAGAACCCAACCGAACAACATAGGACTGTCTAACCCTACCACAAATAATATTATACCCTCTCATACATCGTAGGACCGTTCCTACTCCGACCACCACATGTAACCACCCGTCGAAGATACGACCATTCTCTTACCATCTGCAAGTAGCAGTACCCACCCGTAGAAGATACGACCATTCTCTTACCCTCTGCAAGTAGCAGTACCCACCCGTAGAAGATACGACCATTCTCTTACCCTCTGCAAGTAGCAGTACCCACCCGTAGAAGATACGACCATTCTCTTACCCTCTGCAAGTAGCAGTACCCACCCGTAGAAGATACGACCATTCTCTTACCCTCTGCAAGAAGCAGTACCCACCCGTAGAAGATACGACCATTCTCTTACCCTCTGCAAGTAGCAGTACCCACCCGTAGAAGATACGACCATTCTCTTACCCTCTGCAAGTAGCAGTACCCACCCGTAGAAGATACGACCATTCTCTTACCCTCTGCAAGTAGCAGTACCCACCCGTAGAAGATACGACCATTCTCTTACCCTCTGCAAGTAGCAGTACCCACCCGTAGAAGATACGACCATTCTCTTACCCTCTGCAAGTAGCAGTACCCACCCGTAGAAGATACGACCATTCTCTTACCATCTGCAAGTAGCAGTACCCACCCGTAGAAGATACGACCATTCTCTTACCCTCTGCAAGTAGCAGTACCCACCCGTAGAAGATACGACCATTCTCTTACCCTCTGCAAGTAGCAGTACCCACCCGTAGAAGATACGACCAATCTCTTACCCTCTGCAAGTAGCAGTACCCACCCGTAGAAGATACGACCATTCTCTTACCCTCTGCAAGTAGCAGTACCCACCCGTAGAAGATACGACCATTCTCTTACCATCTGCAAGTAGCAGTACCCACCCGTAGAAGATACGACCATTCTCTTACCCTCTGCAAGTAGCAGTACCCACCCGTAGAAGATACGACCATTCTCTTACCATCTGCAAGTAGCAGTACCCACTCGTAGAAGATACGACCATTCTCTTACCCTCTGCAAGTAGAAGTACCCACCCGTAGAAGATACGACCATTCTCTTACCCTCTGCAAGTAGCAGTACCCACCCGTAGAAGATACGACCATTCTCTTACCCTCTGCAAGTAGCAGTACCCACCCGTAGAAGATACGACCATTCTCTTACCCTCTGCAAGTAGCAGTATCCACTCGTAGAAGATACGACCATTCTCTTACCCTCTGCAAGTAGCAGTATCCACCCGTAGAAGATACGACCATTCTCTTACCCTCTGCAAGTAGCAGTATCCACCCGTAGAAGATACGACCATTCTCTTACCATCTGCAAGTAGCAGTACCCACCAGTAGAAGATACGACCATTCTCTTACCCTCTGCAAGTAGAAGTACCCACCCGTAGAAGATACGACCATTCTCTTACCCTCTGCAAGTAGCAGTACCCACCCGTAGAAGATACGACCATTCTCTTACCATCTGCAAGTAGCAGTACCCACCCGTAGAAGATACGACCATTCTCTTACCATCTGCAAGTAGCAGTACCCATCCGTAGAAGATACGACCATTCTCTTACCCTCTGCAAGTAGCAGTATCCACCCGTAGAAGATACAACCATTCTCTTACCATCTGCAAGTAGCAGTAACCACCCGTAGAAGATACGACCATTCTCTTACCCTCTGCAAGTAGCAGTACCCACCCGTAGAAGATACGACCATTCTCTTACCCTCTGCAAGTAGCAGTACCCACCCGTTGAAGATACGACCATTCTCTTACCCTCTGCAAGTAGAAGTACCCATCCGTAGAAGATACGACCATTCTCTTACCCTCTGCAAGTAGAAGTACCCATCCGTAGAAGATACGACCATTCTCTTACCATCTGCAAGTAGCAGTACCCACCCGTAGAAGATACGACCATTCTCTTACCCTCTGCAAGTAGCAGTACCCACCCGTTGAAGATACGACCATTCTCTTACCCTCTGCAAGTAGAAGTACCCATCCGTAGAAGATACGACCATTCTCTTACCATCTGCAAGTAGAAGTACCCACCCGTAGAAGATACGACCATTCTCTTACCATCTGCAAGTAGCAGTACCCACCCGTAGAAGATACGACCATTCTCTTACCATCTGCAAGTAGCAGTACCCACCCGTAGAAGATACGACCATTCTCTTACCCTCTGCAAGTAGCAGTAACCATCCGTAGAAGATACGACCATTCTCTTACCATCTGCAAGTAGCAGTACCCACCCGTAGAAGATACGACCATTCTCTTACCCTCTGCAAGTAGAAGTACCCACCCGTAGAAGATACGACCATTCTCTTACCCTCTGCAAGTAGCAGTACCCACCCGTAGAAGATACGACCATTCTCTTACCATCTGCAAGTAGCAGTACCCACCCGTAGAAGATACGACCATTCTCTTACCCTCTGCAAGTAGCAGTACCCATCCGTAGAAGATACGACCATTCTCTTACCATCTGCAAGTAGCAGTATCCACCCGTAGAAGATACGACCATTCTCTTACCATCTGCAAGTAGCAGTACCCACCCGTAGAAGATACGACCATTCTATTACCCTCTGCAAGTAGCAGTACCCACCCGTAGAAGATACGACCATTCTCTTACCCTCTGCAAGTAGGAGTACCCACCCGTTGAAGATACGACCATTCTCTTACCCTCTGCAAGTAGGAGTACCCACCCGTAGAAGATACGACCATTCTCTTACCATCTGCAAGTAGAAGTACCCACCCGTAGAAGATACGACCATTCTCTTACCATCTGCAAGTAGCAGTACCCACCCGTAGAAGATACGACCATTCTCTTACCATCTGCAAGTAGCAGTAACCACCCGTAGAAGATACGACCATTCTCTTACCCTCTGCAAGTAGCAGTACCCACCCGTAGAAGATACGACCATTCTCTTACCCTCTGCAAGTAGCAGTACCCACCCGTAGAAGATACGACCATTCTCTTACCCTCTGCAAGTAGCAGTACCCACCCGTAGAAGATACGACCATTCTCTTACCCTCTGCAAGTAACAGTACCCACCCGTAGAAGATACGACCATTCTCTTACCCTCTGCAAGTAGCAGTACCCACCCGTGGAAGATACGACCATTCTATTACCCTCTGCAAGTAGAAGTACCCACCCGTAGAAGATACGACCATCTGCAAGTAGCAGTACCCGCCCGTAGAAGATACGACCATTCTCTTACCCTCTGCAAGTAGCAGTACCCACCCGTAGAAGATACGACCATCTACAAGTAACAGTACCCACCCGTAGAAGATACGACCATTCTCTTACCCTCTGCAAGTAGCAGTACCCACCCGTAGAAGATACGACCATTCTCTTACCCTCTGCAAGTAGCAGTACCCACCCGTAGAAGATGCGACCATCTGCAAGTAGCAGTACCCACCCGTAGAAGATACGACCATTCTCTTACCATCTGCAAGAAGCAGTACCCACCCGTAGAAGATACGACCATTCTCTTACCCTCTGCAAGTAGCAGTACCCACCCGTAGAAGATACGACCATTCTCTTACCCTCTGCAAGTAGCAGTACCCACCCGTAGAAAATACGACCATTCTCTTACCCTCTGCAAGTAGCAGTACCCACCCGTAGAAGATACGATCATTCTCTTACCCTCTGCAAGTAGCAGTACCCACCCGTAGAAGATACGACCATTCTCTTACCCTCTGCAAGTAACAGTACCCACCCGTAGAAGATACGACCATTCTCTTACCCTCTGCAAGTAACAGTACCCACCCGTAGAAGATACGACCATTCTCTTACCATCTGCAAGTAGCAGTACCCACCCGTAGAAGATACGACCATTCTCTTACCCTCTGCAAGTAGCAGTACCCACCCGTTGAAGATACGACCATTCTCTTACCATCTGCAAGTAGAAGTACCCACCCGTAGAAGATACGACCATTCTCTTACCATCTGCAAGTAGCAGTACCCACCCGTAGAAGATACGACCATTCTCTTACCATCTGCAAGTAACAGTACCCACCCGTAGAAGATACGACCATTCTCTTACCCTCTGCAAGTAGCAGTACCCACCCGTAGAAGATACGACCATTCTCTTACCCTCTGCAAGTAGAAGTACCCACCCGTAGAAGATACGACCATCTGCAAGTAGCAGTACCCACCCGTAGAAGATACGACCATTCTCTTACCATCTGCAAGTAGCAGTACCCACCCGTAGAAGATACGACCATCTACAAGTAACAGTGCCCACCCGTAGAAGATACGACCATTCTCTTACCCTCTGCAAGTAGCAGTACCCACCCGTAGAAGATACGACCATTCTCTTACCCTCTGCAAGTAGCAGTACCCACCCGTAGAAGATACGACCATCTGCAAGTAGCAGTACCCACCCTTAGAAGATACGACCATTCTCTTACCATCTGCAAGTAGCAGTACCCACCCGTAGAAGATACGACCATTCTCTTACCCTCTGCAAGTAGCAGTACCCACCCGTAGAAGATACGACCATTCTCTTACCCTCTGCAAGTAGCAGTACCCACCCGTAGTAGATACGACCATTCTCTTACCCTCTGCAAATAGCAGTACCCACCCGTTGAAGATACGACCATTCTCTTACCCTCTGGTAGTAGCAGTACCCACCCGTAGAAGATACGACCTCTCTCTTACCCTCTGCAAGTAGCAGTACCCACCCGTAGAAGATACGACCATTCTCTTACCCTCTGGTAGTAGCAGTACCCACCCGTAGAAGATACGACCATTCTCTTACCCTCTGCAAGTAGCAGTACCCACCCGTAGAAGATACGACCATTCTCTTACCCTCTGCAAGTAACAGTACCCACCCGTAGAAGATACGACCATTCTCTTAACCTCTGCAAGTAGCAGTATCCACCCGTAGAAGATACGACCATTCTCTTACCATCTGCAAGTAGCAGTACCCACCCGTTGAAGATACGACCATTCTCTTACCATCTGCAAGTAGCAGTACCCACCCGTAGAAGATACGACCATTCTCTTACCATCTGCAAGTAGCAGTACCAAACCGTAGAAGATACGACCATCTACAAGTAGAAGTACCCACCCGTAGAAGATACGACCATTCTCTTACCATCTGCAAGTAGCAGTACCCACCCGTTGAAGAAACGACCATTCTCTTACCATCTGCAAGAAGCAGTACCCACCCGTAGAAGATACGACCATTCTCTTACCATCTGCAAGTAGCAGTACCCACCCGTTGAAGATACGACCATTCTCTTACCATTTGCAAGTAGCAGTACCCACCCGTTGAAGATACGACCATTCTCTTACCATCTGCAAGTAGCAGTACCCACCCGTAGAAGATACGACCATTCTCTTACCATCTGCAAGTAGCAGTACCCACCCGTAGAAGATACGACCATCTACAAGTAGAAGTACCCTCCCGTAGAAGATACGACTATCTACAAGTAACAGTATCCACCCGTAGAAGATACGACCATTCTCTTACCATCTGCAAGTAGCAGTACCCACCCGTAGAAGATACGACCATCTACAAGTAGAAGTACCCACCCGTAGAAGATACGACCATTCTCTTACCATCTGCAAGTAGCAGTACCCACCCGTTGAAGATACGACCATTCTCTTACCCTCTGCAAGTAACAGTACCCACCCGTAGAAGATACGACCATTCTCTTAACCTCTGCAAGTAGCAGTATCCACCCGTAGAAGATACGACCATTCTCTTACCATCTGCAAGTAGCAGTACCCACCCGTTGAAGATACGACCATTCTCTTACCATCTGCAAGTAGCAGTACCCACCCGTAGAAGATACGACCATTCTCTTACCATCTGCAAGTAGCAGTACCAAACCGTAGAAGATACGACCATCTACAAGTAGAAGTACCCACCCGTAGAAGATACGACCATTCTCTTACCATCTGCAAGTAGCAGTACCCACCCGTTGAAGAAACGACCATTCTCTTACCATCTGCAAGAAGCAGTACCCACCCGTAGAAGATACGACCATTCTCTTACCATCTGCAAGTAGCAGTACCCACCCGTTGAAGATACGACCATTCTCTTACCATTTGCAAGTAGCAGTACCCACCCGTTGAAGATACGACCATTCTCTTACCATCTGCAAGTAGCAGTACCCACCCGTAGAAGATACGACCATTCTCTTACCATCTGCAAGTAGCAGTACCCACCCGTAGAAGATACGACCATCTACAAGTAGAAGTACCCTCCCGTAGAAGATACGACTATCTACAAGTAACAGTATCCACCCGTAGAAGATACGACCATTCTCTTACCATCTGCAAGTAGCAGTACCCACCCGTAGAAGATACGACCATCTACAAGTAGAAGTACCCACCCGTAGAAGATACGACCATTCTCTTACCATCTGCAAGTAGCAGTACCCACCCGTTGAAGATACGACCATTCTCTTACCATCTGCAAGTAGCAGTACCCACCCGTAGAAGATACGACCATTCTCTTACCATCTGCAAGTAGCAGTACCCACCCGTAGAAGATACGACCATTCTCTTACCATCTGCAAGTAGCAGTACCCACCCGTTGAAGATACGACCATTCTCTTACCATCTGCAAGTAGCAGTACCCACCCGTTGAAGATACGACCATTCTCTTACCATCTGCAAGTAGCAGTACCCACCCGTAGAAGATACGACCATTCTCTTACCATCTGCAAGTAGCAGTACCCATCCGTAGAAGATACGACCATTCTCTTACCATCTGCAAGTAGCAGTACCCATCCGTTCATCCCATGACCGTCCCCTTATCATCTGCGAGTTCAAGTACCCATCCATACATCAAATGGACGTCCTCATACCATCTGCGAGTTCTAGTACCCACCCGAACATCCAGTGACCGTGTCTACCCGTATTGGTACCTACCCGCCATGCCGCTGATCTGCGCCACGTTCATCACAAGGTACACATCGGACGTGTTGTATTGGTTCAGGAACGTGCGGAACAGCCCCATGGCACCGTCTGTATCCTTCCGCGTCTCCTTCTTGTGGTGCTCGAATGTGACGACAAGGTCACCAAACCTCCGACTGTAGAGGAAGGCGCGAGTATATAGGCAAGTGCAAGTCAGAAATGATTTATTTTATATTGTAATGTAGATGTAGAATTGTAAACTCTACACACGACACTTGCAAAACTACACACGTGAGATCTCACCTGTGAAGATCCGGGTTAGAAAAGGTCTTCAGCAACCCATGCTTGTCATAAGAGGCGACTAACGGGATCGGGTGGTCTAGCTCACATACTCGTAATTAGAGCACAAATACCTTGATCAGCCCACTCTGGTCGTAGCCAGCGAAGTGTTTGATCTCACCTTTTAGTATGTAATTAAATATGTTCCTTGTTTTGTTCTTGTAAATTGATCACAAAACGTGCAGTCGCATCTAAATGATTACCAACTTATTGTCTTCACCAGTTATCAAAGAGTTCTGCACCCGTGAAGATTCGGGTTAGAGTTAGTCCTCAGCAACCTATGCTTGCTGTAAAAAGCGACTGTGATTGTCGTAAGAGGCGACTAGCGGGATCGGTGGTCAGACGCGCTGTCATGGTTACTGCATGTCATCGTATCCCCATTCCGTAGATCGATGCTCATGGTGGTAATCACTGGATTGTCTGGTCCAGACTCGATTATTTACAGCCCGCCGTCATATAGCTGGAATACTGCTGAGTGCGGCGTTAAACAACAAACATGTGTGGTCTTCCTGGAATCAGGTCAACGAGTTCAGGTGTTATGAGCCTCAAACAGTACGTTATGAAACTACAGAGTATTTTGGAAAACGGTCGCACAAATGGAAATATGCAACTTTCGTATGTAATTAGAGCACAAACACCTTGATCAGCCCACTCTGGTCGTAGCCAGCGAAGTGTTTGTGTTTGAACCAGGTTCAACGTAGTGCCAGTCATCACTGCTCGATAATGTCGTGTGACTGCGAGAAGCGATCTCATAAAATAGCTGTGTAAAGGCGAAGAGAGTTCGGTTTTGGTTTGGCTTGCAACACCTGCGGGTATCATGGATGCCTCCAACCTGAGGGTGTAACAACCCCAGCCAACACCAACAAGGAGTGTCCATCTAGCTTAGATGCAGACAATAACGATCACGTATGTCAGGTTTAATCATAAAATATGTCAAATATCGAGCAGAACCAATACTTTCGTGGTTTGTCCCACAATTCACTTGCGCTAGTCACTTTCGCACGTGCAACACATGACAATACTGAGTGCGGAGAATTCTTAGTTGTTGTTTTTCGTTTGTTGTTTAACGTTGCATTAGTAATATTCCACCTGTATGACGGCGGTCAGTGAAAGTAATCGAGTCTGGACCAGACAATCCAGTGATTGATGTCATGAGGTACGATGACATGCATCAACCAAGTCAGCGAGTCAGACCACCCGAACCCGTTAGTCGCCTCTTACGACAAGCATGGGTTGCTGAGGACCAACCCTAACCCGAATCTTCACGGGTGCAGAACTCTTTGAACCTTTGAAGACAATAAGTATATTTTAAGTACGACTTCACGTTTTATGATCAATTTACAAGAGAAAATCATGCAAACATATTTAATTATATACTTTCAACAATATGTTAAAACTATTTCTCAAAAGAGTAAAATCCAAATGGGAGCCCGGAACAATCCTGAATCTGAGAACTGAGGCAACCTAGACTTGCCAAATCATTCTAGAGCCGAGTTGGTTTCCTTCATAAAAAAATTCTGTAGGGTTTGGGAGAATAGGATATGCCATGTGGTATTCGGGTTCGACTCCCAGGAATGAGAACTAATTTAATTTAAATTAAACGAAAAAATTAATTCAGGGATGACATTTGGAGGTTTGTAAAGACCCAGAAAAGTAGAAACATGTTATAATAGTTCAGTGGGTATACGGTTATTGAAACCTCGAAAACAAGTTTGTGAAAGAAACATGAGAAGCGGCGAGTATAGAGTATAATATAACGTACTGTAGGGGTCTTTATAAAAAACAGGGGTTTTAAATTCAGTTTAAGAGTTACATGACTTTGTTTTAAAAAGTTCGATTAAAGGTTTCAGGATACTATCAGTTAACTGTGTATCGATGTTCCCGCATATTTTTTTATAGGCTATTTTCAAAAGCGACGTTAAACTAACTCACTCACTCACTCTTACCTGAGATAGTCATCGTTCCAGAGTTTGTATGCCGGGTACTTGAAACTAGGGTTGTTTAACGCCGACCTCAATAACACAGGTTGACCTGGCCTCACAAACCACTCGTAGAAATACTGCGGCGTGGGTATACCCTCCATTACTGGGATGTCGTGCAAAGGGTGATAACTCCCCAGGGGTTTCAAGTGACCTTGGAATTGAACACCTTCAGTTGCACAGAACGTCATTAGTGTCGCACACACCATCGTTGTTACAACACAGGACACCGTCAACGTCGATGCCGACACATACACCATTGTTGCTGAAATAGGCGCTGCGTTTGCTGATCGTGTCTAAATCTATTTCCCACTTTTGTCAAGATTCAATACCGCATTCGTATACCTGAGAACTAAAGACTCCAAGCGGGGTATCTGTTTAACAACCCCTGTCAACTGCTAGCAAACGCTGGCCACAATCATCCCACTCAGTAAGTCACAACGTTTTAGTCACCCTAGACAATAAATGCATTTTAGATAAAACAGTTTCGTATTATGACGCCGATCTTTGCACGACCCTCCCCATGGAGTCCGGATGTGCCGCCAGATGGCGCTGAACAAGGTGTCAGCCGCAGGTGTCGCTGCTGATGGTTTCGCCAAGTATACCGTAAGTGATGTTGCTGTCTGTCCACGTGTACGCCAGCTCCTATTCTAGCTGCACATCTGATGAATGAGAGAACAACACTAACAATATGCATACAGGTCCATGAAAACTGTTTAAACCCCCTGTCCGCGAAATATCTAAGGTGCGCACCCTAAATTAATAAATGAAATATGAATGAATAGTGACACGTGAGAAAGAAATTACGCCACACAGTAAGTAACGAATTTACTTAGTTAATGGAGTTCATTCCAAAAGTTGAACTTAGTATGCCGTATATATGAAAATGTTCAAACAAGTGTAATGTCGAATATGTTTGAACGCAACTTTCGTCTGTGCAAAGGTGTATATTGAGTCCGTTTCTACTTTCATTTTTTATACATGAATTAGCATCAGAAAAATAACGGTTGTGCAAACGTTATTCAATTGCATCTACATGTTGTTGAACATATCTTTTTATTGGAAAATTATATAATCACAAAGCACAGTTGCAAAAGCAAATTAATGTATTGGAATGTCACCGTGATGAATGGAAAATCACTGTTTTAAAACCTACTTGTAAACTTGCCAAACTGACAAATGTTCCTTTAAAGGTGAAACTTTGGATGTAACTACGCACAATCAATGTTCGGTCTGTCTATCAGGAATGTTCTTACATCGATGAAGTTCAGTGTCGGTGTTCTGCAGTCCTCGTTAGGCAGTCTCGGCAGGAACGAGACTACGCTCGGAGCTAGGACAGTGACCTTCACCTTGGGACGGTCACAGTGACACAGTTACGTGAGACGTATTCATTGATGTGTGAGTAAGCAAAATAGAACAAGAATACCAATATTTTATCAATTGAGCGACCTCCCAAGGTAACAAATTGTTACAGCTGGGAGAAAACTCCTGAGACGGGCAGTTACCGCTGGAGCGGTTTCTTCACCATTTCCGACAGGTCACGTGGATCATGATAACATATAAGATAGTTACACGTTTCAAAGAGATGGCCGCCTAGAGAGATACCTTTTGTTTATATCAGCACTCAGCAATATTCCACCAATATGACGGCGGGCTGTAAATAATCGAGTCTGGACCAGACAGTCCAGGGATTGACATCATGAACACCGATCTACGCAATTGGGATACAATGATATGCATCAACCAAGTCAGCAAGCCCGATCCCGTCTTACGACAAGCATAGTTGCCTCTTACGGCAAGAATGGGTTGCTGAAGACCTATTCTAACCCGGATCTTCACGGGCTGCAGAGATACCTGCTCCTGTCGACAGGGCGTCGTTCGTTAGACAGGGTGACGGCCGTCTAACACAAAGGTCACGAAGGTCGTAACTGAAACCCTGGAACCAAGTACTGACGTAGTGGACAAACATCACCATGGCTGGGGCTGGTGTTGAGGCAGAGGACAGATTCACCAAGTAATTCAGGAAAAGGTGTGTCTGGAGGCCACGGGGGTAATGGCTCTCGACCTGCGTGGGAAGACTAAGGATGCAGGGAATCACAGGTGAGGTGTAGCAGTGTACATAACTGTATGGAGGGGTGCAGGTACGCCCAGGTAGGTTGCACGTGTAGCATTGTATTTGTTTGTAGTCTAAGGTGCAGGCATTACTTAGCCTGATCTGCACTGAATCAGACCAGGACTACTGGCTGATTGCTGTGTAGTTCAGTGTGTTGGTTTAAAGATATTGTCTGATATTGTGTGTGTGTGTGTGTGTGTGTGTGTGTGTGTGTGTGTGTGTGTGTGTGTGTGTGTGTGTGTGTGTGTGTGTGTGTGTGTGTGTGTGTGTGTGTGTGTGTGTGTGTGTGTGTGTGTGTGTGTGTGTGTGTGTGTGTGTGTGTTAAATCTGTGTTCATGTCTGCCCAGGTGTGGCATCTCTGTGTGAGGGGGCGCATTGTCATGTGTGTGTGTGTGTGTTAAATCTGTGTTCATGTCTGCCCAGGTGTGGCATCTGTGTGAGGGGGCGCATTGTCATGTGTGTGCATGTGTGTGTGTTCAATCTGTGTTCATGTCTGCCCAGGTGTGGCATCTCTGTGTGAGGGGGCGCATTGTCATGTGTGTGTGCATGCGTATGTGTTCAATCTGTGTTCATGTCTGCCCAGGTGTGGCATCTCTGTGTGAGGGGGCGCATTGTCATGTGTGTGTGTGTGTGTTCAATCTGTGTTCATGTCTGCCCAGGTGTGGCATCTCTGTGTGAGGGGGCGCATTGTCATGTGTGTGCATGTGTGTGTGTTCAATCTGTGTTCATGTCTGCCCAGGTGTGGCATCTCTGTGTGAGGGGGCGCATTGTCATGTGTGTGCATGTGTGTGTGTGTGTTCAATCCGTGTTCATGTCTGCCCAGGTGTGGCATCTCTGTGTGAAGGGGCGCATTGTCATGTGTGTGCATGCGTATGTGTTCAATCTGTGTTCATGTCTGCCCAGGTGTGGCATCTCTGTGTGAGGTGGCGCATTGTCATGTGTGTGTGTGTGTGTTCAATCTGTGTTCATGTCTGCCCAGGTGTGGCATCTCTGTGTGAGGGGGTGCATTGTCATGTGTGTGCATGTGTGTGTGTTCAATCTGTGTTCATGTCTGCCCAGGTGTGGCATCTCTGTGTGAGGGGGCGCATTGTCATGTGTGTGCATGCGTATGTGTTCAATCTGTGTTCATGTCTGCCCAGGTGTGGCATCTCTGTGTGAGGGGGCGCATTGTCATGTGTGTGTGTGTGTGTTCAATCTGTGTTCATGTCTGCCCAGGTGTGGCATCTCTGTGTGAGGGGGCGCATTGTCATGTGTGTGCATGTGTGTGTGTTCAATCTGTGTTCATGTCTGCCCAGGTGTGGCATCTCTGTGTGAGGGGGCGCATTGTCATGTGTGTGCATGTGTGTGTGTTCAATCCGTGTTCATGTCTGCCCAGGTGTGGCATCTCTGTGTGAAGGGGCGCATTGTCATGTGTTTGCATGCGTATGTGTTCAATCTGTGTTCATGTCTGCCCAGGTGTGGCATCTCTGTGTGAGGGGGCGCATTGTCATGTGTGTGTGTGTGTGTTCAATCTGTGTTCATGTCTGCCCAGGTGTGGCATCTCTGTGTGAGGGGGCGCATTGTCATGTGTGTGCATGTGTGTGTGTTCAATCTGTGTTCATGTCTGCCCAGGTGTGGCATCTCTGTGTGAGGGGGCGCATTGTCATGTGTGTGCATGCGTATGTGTTCAATCTGTGTTCATGTCTGCCCAGGTGTGGCATCTCTGTGTGAAGGGGCGCATTGTCATGTGTGTGCATGCGTATGTGTTCAATCTGTGTTCATGTCTGCCCAGGTGTGGCATCTCTGTGTGAGGGGGCGCATTGTCATGTGTGTGCATGTGTGTGTGTTCAATCTGTGTTCATGTCTGCCCAGGTGTGGCTCCTCTCTGGGAGGGGGACAAGATGTGTATGGCCGCCTGCTCCACCCAGCCCCGGGACCACGTGGACGACTGTCTGGACATCTGCAGACAACATAGCTGTAACCAGACTGAAGTCCTGACACCCACTAACACAGGTACAAGCGAATGGGTGGGATGGAGTTCCTCATTCTTACCCTGGTCGCCCCGGATACACCATTTCTAAAGGTGGAAGAGTGCCGAGCATAAAGATCCCATATTCACGACCATTCCACTGTGGGAATATAACATCAAAGATAATACTGATTGTGTGTAATCTCGAGATGGTTTGGTCAGCTGGTTTGTATCCATTTTCAAGAATGATTTTTACCTCCCGCAATCTCCCATTAATCTCCCCGTATGTATTGCATACGTTCAACACTGTTTTCAGGAGGTCCTGTTGTCAGAGATCCTATCTCTTTCCCCACAAGATGGCTGCCCACCATCATAGGGGCGCTCGTCGGTGTAGGAGTCCTGGCTGCCGTCGTCTACTATTTCCGGTAAGAGGTAGGTTGTGTACTTCTTCCGGTAAGAGAGTACACTGTACGCTGTGTCGTCGTCTACTACTTCTGGAAAGAGCGTACACAGTGTCGTCGTCTACTATGTCCGATAAGAGTGAACACTCAACTACTTCCGTGAACAGGGCACACTGTGTCGTTGTCTACTACTTCCGGTTAGAGTGTACCCTGTGTTGTCGTCGTCTACTACTTTCGTTAAGAGGGAACTATGTGTCGTCTATGACTTCCGGTAAGAGGGAAAACTGTGTCGTCTATGACTTTCGGTAAGAGGGAAAACTGTGTCGTCTACGACTTCCGGTAAGAGGGAACACTGTGCCGTCTATGACTTTCGGTAAGAGGGAAAACTGTGTCGTCTACGACTTCTCGTAAGAGGGAACACTGTGCCGTCTACGACTTCCGGTAAGAGGGAAAACTGTGTCGTATACGACTTCCGGTAAGAGGGAAAACTGTGTCGTCTACGGCTTCCGGTAAGAGGGAACACTGCGTCGTCTACGACTTCCGGTAAGAGGGAAAACTGTGTCGTCTACGACTTCCGGTAAGAGGGAACACTGTGTCGTCTACGACTTCCGGTAAGAGGGAACACTGTGTCGTCTACGACTTTCGGTAAGAGGGGAACCTGTGTTGTCGTTGTCTACTACGTCCGGTAAAAGGTTACCCTGTGTTGTCGTTGTCTACTACTTCCGGTAAAAGGTTACCCTGTGTTCTCGTTGTGGGTACACTGTATCGTTGCCTTCGACATCCGGTAAGATAACATTAGTAAGATGAAACACTGTACGTTGTATTGTCGTCTACTACTTCCGGTAAAAGGGTACCCTATGTTGTCGTCGTCTACTACTTCCGGTAAGAGGGAACACTGTGTCGTCCTTGTCGTCTTCTACTTCCGTTAACAGTGCACACTGGTAAGATAGAACACCGGATGGAATACTACTTCCGATAATAGGGCACACAGAGTTGCCATCTACTACTTCCGTTAACAGGGCACACAGAGTTGCCATCTACTACTTCCGTTAACAGGGCACACAGAGTTGCCATCTACTACTTCCGTTTACAGGGCACACAGAGCTGCCATCTACTACTTCCGTTAACAGAGCACACAGAGTTGCCATCTACTGCTTCCGTAAACAGGGCACACAGAGTTGCCATCTACTACTTCCGTTAACAGGGCACACAGAGTTGCCATCTACTACTTCCGTTAACAGGGCACACAGAGTTGCCATCTACTACTTCCGTTAACAGGGCACACAGAGTTGCCATCTACTACTTCCGTTAACAGGGCACACAGAGTTGCCATCTACTGCTTCCGTAAACAGGGCACACAGATTTGCCATCTACTATTTCCGTTAGCAGGGCACACTGAGATGCCATCTACTGCTTCCGTTAACAGGGCACACAGAGTTGCCATCTACTATTTCCGTTAGCAGGTCACACTGAGATGCCATCTACTGCTTCCGTTAACAGTGCACACTGAGATGCCATCTACTGCTTCCGTTAACAGGGCACACAGAGTTGCCATCTACTACTTCCGTTAACAGAGAACAATGTGTCGCCTACTACTTCCGGTAAGAGGCTACACTGAGTTGTCGTCTACTACTTCTGTTAACAGGGCACATTGTGTCGTCTTTGTCGTCGCCCACAATTTCTAGTTACAGAGTATACTTTGTGATCTACTACCGGTAAGACGTGGTCTCGTGTTCCTGCCTTTGGCTGATGCTGAAAAGCTTCGTGTAAATGTGACATAAAAGCCTGTATTAAACCTGCGAACCGGGATTCGAACCCACAATCATAGGTTTCTGGCGTGCCCAAGGGACGCAACTCTGCACAGCGAATCGCGGCGCCTTAGGCAGTGCCCCCGACTACGGATGGGGCGCGGCAGGGAGACAGACGTCGTGCTAAGTGTCAGCGTCCAGCAGCAGGCGATTAACACATCTGTGTGTGTCACAACACCATTTGTCTGTATGTTGTAGAATAAACCTTTTGTTAATAAAGATATTTTAGATTTAGTTGCCTTGGATTTTACGAATCCGTGACTGTTTAGTCCATCCAGTCAATCTATAAATAAACATCCTTAAATGCAAAGTAATGATACTTCCATGAGTTTATTTCTCCAAATAATTTATTCAAACTCTAGAAACATGACAGTGGAAAATTATTTAAAACATAGCCATGGTAGCCAGCCCTTACATTAAGAAATGACAAAATATGATATTGCCAAACTCCCTGCAGGATTCCACACACACATATTTAAATGTAACATATATTATATAGTGTGGTAACCATTTCTTCCTGAGGTCAAGGTCAATATCTTGTCTTTGGCTGTCAACATTTGCTGGGTAGATTGTGATGCCTCATATAAATAATCAAAATCAATAGTAATCAACATACATGGTTTTTTTAACAAATATGTGAAGACATGTAGAAACAGCAAAAGCTGTTATCGCAAGGACTGTGAATTTAACAACCTGATCATGTCAATATATATACCTTTAGGAAACAGCTATTCACTGGTATGAAACCCGTTATAATACCAGGCTTTTCAAAGTTACCATCTGTAAGACAACTTAAGTCAAGGAGTACATGTTCATTGTTGTAAATGTACAGGTGTCAAAGTTCTTCCTTGGCCTGGCTTTGATCCTGGTTCTCTCCGTCGATGAGGTCGTAGGGGTAGCCGCTCATGATCGTCTCGGCGTTGTCCCTTAACATGTCCTTAAACCTGGTGGTGAAGTCGTCCACGTCGGCCTGGTACAGTTCCTCCCAGGTGACATGGTCGTCGCCGTCAGTGTTGAAGTAGTCGTACACCTGTAACACATTAGGTCAGGTGAGGCGAAATGGGGTTTAACGTAGAGTTCAAAATTATTATTAAAATTTTAGTGCGTGCGTGCGTGCGTGCGTGCGTGCGTGCGTGCGTGCGTGCGTGCGTGCGAGCGAGCGTGCGTGCGTGCTTGTACTAGTCCAGATTAACGCTGTTTAGATGCCATGCCGCAGTTTTACATTGATACCCAACTCAGACAAGTACACTGACTACACGCCGACCATCATTGTTTTAGCCCCTTAATGCCGACAGGTACCAACATGTACCATCTTCGAGTACAAAGTCCAGTATTTTGTTCAGCTCTCCGGACAGACACTCTATCCACAAGACCACAGAGCCGGTCCCGTGGACACAGTAATCCTTACATTGTAGGTATAATAGGTAACCTCCTATTACATATGGATAGTGCTATCTGTGCCATAACCCAATCCGATAAATTTGGCATCATCGAGACATGGCGAGGGATTTCCGTTAACGTCATCATGTGTTTGACGTCGTCGTTGCGGGGACGTGTTATGGCCTGCATTGATTCACGAGGTGGACATACTCAATGTTAAACCGGAGATTTGAGACTTTGCAGTGACCTACGAGTCTGTTGTTACACGTATATTAACAATGACAATGTGAATGGTCTCAGTTTGACCTTGTGTATCTTCTTAATACTAAAACATGATGCTTAAACGCCTCACTCATAAAATATGTTTTCACATGTTCAACATGTTTTAGCTTTAATGTCGCTCAAACGTCAGTTTATATAATATATATAGTATGCCAAACAAACGCCGCGTTTCTGTTCCTAACATATAATATAATGTTGGGCCATTTACCCGTTTCAGGTTCCACAAGAAAACTGATACCCGCAGAATACTTGCCATGAAGACGCCCACTACTATGCTAGAAAGTATAGAACATACATTGGTAGAAGAGGGAAGGTGGACACGCACCTGCTTGGCATACTGTACGTCTTTCGCCATGTAGTGCAGATTGTCCTGGTAGATTCGGTCCTTCCCTTCCAGTTCCGAAAACAGGTTAAGTCTGAAAAGGGAAATATAGAAAACTAACACTGTGTGCAGACACAGACTCAGACACAGACAGACACAAATACAGACACAGACACATTTAGACAGAGACATAGACATAGACACAGATTCACACTCACACAAAGTCAGACAGACAAAGACACAGACTCAGACACATACACACAGTCAGACAGACAAAGACACGGACTCAGACACATACACACACTCAGACCCAGACATGGACACAGACAGACAGACACAGTCAGACACAGTCAGAAACAGACTCAGACTCAGACTTAGACACACTCAGACACAGACAGAGACACACACACACAGACACAGACACAGACTCAGGCACAGACATAGACTCAGACAGACACAGGCATATACACGGAGTTAGACACAGACTCAGACACAGACACAGACATAGACACAGACTCAGACTCAAACACAGACTAAGACACAGACAGATACACACAGACACAAACTAAGACAAAGACAGACACACAGACACAGTCACAAACACAGACACAAACTCTTTACGTGGTTCTTATGCTCCTGGACCTGACCGCACCTGAGGAAGTTCTGTGGGGTTATGGGGGGCGCCTCACTAAGGGGGAGTTGGGTGGTCCTCTCACAGTCGGTGGTGTTGAACCACAGAGGGTGTTGGAACCACACGTTAGAAGCCAGATTCCGGCCTTGGTGTGAGTAAACCTGGTGATACCAGCTGAAACACAGAGGGAGTGAGTGTCGGTGACTTCATCATTACAAGATACGTGCAGCGGCTATAAGGATTCAGCTATGAGGGAGCCCCAACTTACTTGGCCGGTATAAAGAGACAATCTCCTTTTGTCATCTGAGCCTTGAGCCAGGGAATGGATTTGAACTCAGGAAACTTGTCAAGGTCGACTCGGTCCACGTCCACTGTGCTAAAGCCTCGTTCAGCGTTGAACCCGGAAGCTTCTATTTGGGGCATATATCTCTGTCAAAAAGTAAAACAATGTGTGATAAATCCAATTGTCTGAATCAGAAATATGAAACCTCTGTTGTTAAGAAATAAGGGTGAACGGGTTATCCAGTCGTCTAACCGCCGCAATTCGCTGGGTCGAGTTGCGTCACTGTATCTCAACAGCAGAGGCAGAGAGAGAGTCGGGCGACGCCGTGGGGAACGTTATTCGGATGCTTGTGTTGTTGAGATAGACTCGTTGGGTGGTCCGAACATCATGGTGTGGCGTGGAATTGGTCTTGCACAGAGGGTCGGCCTTTGGTCTTCCAGAACATCGGTCCAGGGAGAGCCATTGGTGTCACAGCAACTTGGTACATCGATCAAATCTTGAGACCACACGCCATACCTCATTTGGCACGTCGCCGCAACAACGAGTTTCAGCACGATAACGCCCGTGTCAACACTGCGAGAGCAACAAGAGACTTCCTCCAGCAGAATGGCATCAGAACCATGCAGTGGCCCGCCCTCAGTCCCGATTTAAATCCCACTGAGCACCTGTGGGACGAGATTCAAAGATAGCTGAATGACGTCCGATCAAGGTCGACAACTGCAGCTGAACTGCGTCAGGCGTTCCTCAGAGTGTGGGCTTAAGGGCCTATGGCCTTCATCGACCGCCTCTTCCATTCCATGTATCGACGTTGCACAGCAGTCATCAATGCACATGACGGAGACACGAGATACTGACAGTAAATTTCAGTATATTTATAGCAAATCGGAAATGTTGAAGTTACTCAAACAGCGGAAATTGGTTGACGTTTCTAACGGGACGTCCCGTAGAGCGAAAAGAAACACTTCTATTGAACGATGATCGCCGTACACCATACCCGTGCTCGAAAGTTTCACCAAAGTGAAAACACCTTCCTCCCAATGTGAAGATCCGGGATAGAATAGGTCTTCAACAACCCATGCTGGGCGCAAGACGCGACTAACGGGATCTGGTGGTCAGGCTCGTTGCACTTGGTTGGTGCATGTCATCGTATCCCAACTGCATAGTTCGATGCACTTGATTATTTACAGACCGCCGTCATATAGCTGGAATATTGCTGGGTGCGGCGTTAAACAACAAACAAAACCAAAATCAGACTTTCCTCCCGCCTTGCGCTGCCAAGTGATATAACTAATATAATGTACATAACGACGTTAAACTCACTCACTCACTTTGTCAATGAAAATAAAATCTTTGGTGCCGTCCATGAGGCAGTTGATGTTGTCCATGGAGTCCGAATGGAGCACGGACTTCGTCCCGCCACTGCTGAACCAAAGGTGGTATAACGTCATCAGTTCCTGCGTTCCTCCACACGTCACAAATGGCGGCAGGAATATGTCCTCTGAACGAAAGAAAAGCACGAAATGATTATTTTAAGAAAATTAGTAACGCTTTCATTGGTGAAGTAGTGTGAACAGTCCCATACGTCCATTCTTTCACGGTCTGGGGACGCTGTCCTGGAGATGACACTTGGACAGAAAGAGTGTCAACGTTAAGGAATCGTTTGTAACGCCGAAGGCCCGGGTTTGATTCCCCACATGTCTAGTGTCCCCCAATTTTGCGCCTGAAAACGGCGTAACTCCATACTCACTCACTCACTCACTCACTCACTCTTCTAACAAGTCTTACTGGTACCAGCTGTTGCGTTTTTGCATCAGAATTGCAAAGCAGTACTACAGCTAGAATAACGACAGACTGTCTTCGGCAACATCACTGCCATATCAAGATAGTTACTAGTATTAATGAGCAATATTACAACTATAGCACCACAGCCTAACATCAAGTCTACAACTCTATAATGGGGGCATAATCAAACATGACTAGGGTGTAACAAGTTAAATGACCGTTCTCTTCTCCATCTGCAAGTACTAGAACCCAACCGGACAACACAGGACCGTTCCTACCACCACCCGTAGAAGATACGGCCGTTCGCTGAACACCATTAAGTAGTAGTACTCATCCGTTCATCCAGTGTCCGTTCTCTTACCATCTATGAGTTCTAGTACCCATTCATATATCAAATCGACGTCCTCTTACCACCTGTGAGTCCTAGTACCCATTCATATAATATCAAATGCACGTCCTCTTACAATCTGTGAGTTCTAGTACTCACTCGGGGCGGTGGGCCCGGGGACAAATGTAACACGGGGCATTTGTAACAAGGGCCATTACTCTCAGAAGAACAGCTAACGCAAGTGTTGGGTAATGTAGAGTTACTTCCCTTAGCCTTCCCGCCAAGGACATCAGGCCATGATGGCGCAGTCGCAACAAGGAAAAGAGCAGTGAACAAAAATTTTAATTTTATGCAGGCAAGTAAAAAATTCAAAAAAGATCATAATGTTTTTTTCACCGGACGTATGTGGATAGTTCTGATATTAAACCATTAAAATAGAAACGTTTCACATTGCACCATATTTTGAAGTAGAAATTGTGTAACTGCCCTATGCAGTAGATCTGTGACACGAGGTGAAACATGGACGTCTTCATTCGGGACAATTGTAACAATACGCCCAATGCAGTTTTACTAGATGTTACAATTGCCCTCGTCATTTATATGTACTTAATGCTTACGTCTATGCATATATTTTGCTGTGTGCTTGTTGATGGCCTGGGTTGGAATGTCAGTGGTGGACCGGTTCTGACGCGGCTGTTCAAAAGGGAAACTGGATTGCAAACCAGGAGTTCACGAAGATTGGAAACAAGTTATCTTTGTCTGTGTCTAACGAAACTTTTTTTCTGTCAGAACCAGATGATGACTTGCATTGAGAAATTGTTTTCCTTTTAATGAAGCTGGTGACTAATAAATCCGATTTTGGAGTGATGTCTGCCCACATTTTGAAGGACATTATCTCGTCGTATGAGAATCTAGAGGAACCTCAATCTGTGCTTCAATGTGCTCTGCTTTACTTGAAAAAGATTGAACCACCTGCAACCTGTGACGACGTCCATGTTTGCCAGGAATAACACTTAGTGGAGTCTAGTGTGGAAGATCTCAGGAATTACTAGTGAGCGTGAGCGACATGGTTCGTGAGAGGAGAAGAAAAACGGAACGGGGCAAAAACTTCGATAAGTTATTTGAAGCTTCGAATGCTGTTTCCTTATGGGCAGGCAGTCAAGAGCGCAGCTAGTGACTTCGATCTATGTCACGTTACTCTGGCGCGCTATTGCAACAAAATTAAACTGAGTAAACCAGATCAACCTCCTCCAGAAATGGGATATAAACCTCACAACAAGGTATTTTCAAACGGAAACGAAATGGAACTAGTCAAACACCCGAAGCGCGAAGCAAATATAGATATAGATATATATATATATAACGGATTAAACCCATATATATATTACGGATTAAACCCAAAAGATGTTCGGAAATTAGCCGAAATTGAATGTGCAGTAGCGCATGGGGTAAAATATCCAGACGTTTGGAATGAACCAAACTGGCGGGCAGTGACTGGTTCGCAGCATTTATGAAGCGTAAAAACACACGAGCAATAAAAAAAACTCAAGCCATTAGTCTAGCACGAGCTACTCCGTTCAACAAAGAAACTGTCGGTGAATTCTTTGGCAACCTTGCTCTGATGCTGGAACTACCACTTTCCTCCACAAAACATCTACAACATGAGCGAACCTGGTATTACAACCGTACAGCGTCCGAATCATCATGTTGTCGAGAAAGGAAAGAAGCTCTGACATTACAAGAGAGAGGAACTTTGGTCACATGCGCAGTAGCAATAAATGCAAGTGGGAACAGCATATCTCCCATGCTAATCTTCCCGAGAAAAAACTTCGAACAACACTTTATACGAGATGGACCGCCTGGATGTATGGGAACTGCCAGTGGTTCGGGGTGGATGAAAGAAGACGACTTCTAAACCAAGTAAAGACAACCCAGTTCTTCTCATACTGGACAGCAATGATTCTCACCGTTCCATTCGATCTCAGCAAAGAAATGGGCATTGTACTTCTTTCACTCCCTCCGCATACGTCCCATAAACTGCAGCCGCTTGACAGGGCCGTCTTTGGTCCGTTTAAAAAGGCTACAAGCAGATGTTGCGATTCCTGGATGCTAAATAGTCCTGGTCAAACAATGAGTGAGTGAGTTGGTCTTAACGCCGCTTTTAACAGTATTCCAGTTATATCGCGGCGTGTCAGCTAAGTGTGGGAGGAAAGCCCGAAGTGATGCAGGTCTCAGACGTTTACCACTTCGGTGAAACCCACGAGCACGGATATGGTGCTGACAAAGCTAGAAACATAATCGGGGCGAACCGGGATTCGAACCCACAATCATAGGTTCCTCGGGTGCCCAAGGGACGAATCGCGGCGCCCTAGACGACTGGGCCACCCGTGCCCCCTGGTCAAATAATGACCATTTACAACATTCCTGAGATTGTCCGTGAAGCATTGCCCTTGGCGGCTACACCAAACAGTATTATGTCTGGATTTCGATGTACTGGGATTGTGCCTTGCAATAGGGCCAATTGCTTCCAATATTCCTTGGACTTTAGCTGTTTCCGATGATCCTGACCATGGGAATTCAGCTGTTTCCAATATTCCTTGGACTTCAGCCGTTCCTGACGACCCTGTCCCTGGGCATTCAACTGCTTCCAATATTCCTTGGACTTCAGCCGTTCCTGACGACCCTGTCCCTGGGCATTCAACTGCTTCCAATATTCCTTGGACTTCAGCTGTTCCTGACGACCCTGTCCCTGGACATTCAACTGCTTCTTATATTCCTTGGACTTCAGCCGTTCCTGAAGACCCTGTCCCTGGGCATTCAACTGCCTCCAATATTCCTTGGACTTCAGCTGTTCCTGACGACCCTGTCCCTGGGCGTTCAGCTGCTTTCAATGTTCCTTGGATTTCAGCTGTTTCCGACGACCCTGTCCCTGGGCATTCAACTGTTTCCAATATTCCTTGGACTTCAGCTGTTCCTGGTGACCCTATCCCTGGGCTTTCAACTGCTTCCAATATTCCTGTCCCAGATAGGACGAAAAAGAAGGAAATCCCAAATCCTTACTGACACGCCTGATAGAAGAGAAACTAAAGGAAAAAGAAAAGAAGAAACCAAAACTAAAACGTCTGGCGTATAAACAAAGGAAGAAGCTCATTAACTGCGATTCTTAAAGTGATTCTGATTCTGAAATGAACATTTGCTTGGTTTGTTGCGACAGGTTTTCAACTAGTCGTCCAGGTGAAGAATGGGTACAATGTTCTTCATGCAAGTATTGGGCTCATGTACAGAGTGTACATCAAAACAAGGATTCTTCACTTGTCAAAACTGTCAATCAGATGATGGTGAAAGATGAATGTACATTTGTTTCCACTTCAAACAAAGTAATTCGTTTCATACTTCTATCTAAGTGTATTTTCAATATTAAACCGTTTGTTACATTTGACCGTTGTTTGTTACATTTGATCCATCCACCCTTGGTTGGGTACGATTGTACAACTTGCTAGCATCGCCTTTCATCGGAAATAATTATGTTAAGACGGGACATGGAACCTCAAATGATATTGAATTTTAAAGCCACTACGATGAATGTTTCATTTAGCATAAACTAACATGACGGGAGTGTGTTCTGGTGTTGATTTGCATTAATTTAAGTTGCAAGTGTTACATTTCTCCCCGGTCTCCCCTACCCAAGTGGTTAAACCGTTCGCTCGTCACGTCGAAGGGCCGGTTCGATTCCCCCACATGGGTACAACGTGTGAAACCCATTTCTGGTGTCCCCGCCGTCATATAGCTGGAATATTACTAAAAGCGGCATAAAAACCATACTCAATCAATCAAAAGTACCAACTCCTACGCCCCCTTACCATCAGGGAGTTCTCGTACCCACTCGTACATCAAATGGACGCCCCCTTACCATCTGGGAGTTCTAATATCCATCCATACATCAGATGGACGCCCCCTTACCATCTGGGAGTTCTGGTACCCATTCGTACATCAAATGGACGTACCCTCATCATCTGGGAGTTCTAATATCCATCCATACATCAAATGGATACCCCCTTACCATCTGCGAGTTCTAGTACCCACCCGTAGAAGATACGACCATTCTCTTACCCTCTGCAAGTAGCAGTACCCACCCGTAGAAGATACGACCATTCTCTTACCCTCTGCAAGTAGCAGTACCCATCCGTTCATCCCATGACCGTCCCCTTATCATCTGCGAGTTCAAGTAGCCATCAATACATCCAATGACCTTCACTTATCATCTGCGAGTTCAAGTACCCATCCATACATCAAATGGACGTCCCCATACCATCTGCGAGTTCTAGTACCCACCCGAACATCCAGTGACCGTGTCTCCCCGTATTGGTACCTACCCGCCATGCCGCTGATCTGCGCCACGTTCATCACAAGGTACACGTCGGACGTGTTGTACTTGTTCAGGAACGAGCGGAAGGACCCCATGGCACCGTCTGACTCCTTCCGCGTCTCCTTCTTGTGGTGCTCGAATGTGACGACAAGGTCACCAAACCTCCGACTGTAGAGGAAGGCGCGAGTATATAGGCAAGTGCAAGTCAGAAATGATTTATTTTATATTGTAATGTAGATGTAGACTTGTAAACTCTTCACACGACACTTGCATAAATGCACACGTGAGATCTCACCTGTGAAGATCCGGGTTAGAAAAGGTCTTCAGCAACCAATGCTTGTCGTAAGAGGCGACCAGCGGGATCGGGTGGTCTGGCTCACATACTCGTAATTAGAGCACAAACACCTTGATCAGCCCACTCTGGTCGTAGCCAGCGAAGTGTTTGTGTTTGAACCAGGTGCAACGTGGTGCCAGTCATCACTGCTCGATAATGTCGTGTGACTGCGAGAAGCACTCTTACAATCGCTGTGTAAAGGCGAAGAGAGTTCGGTTTTGGTTTGGCTTGCAACACCTGCGGGTAGCATGGATGCCTCCAACCTGAGGGTGTAACAACCCCAGCCAACACCAAGAAGGAGTGTCTATCTTGCCTAGATGCAGACAATAACGATCACGTATGTCAGGTTTAATCATAAAATATGTCAAATATCGAGCAGAACCAATACTTTCGTGGTTTGTCCCACAATCCACTGGCGCTAGTCACTTTCGCACGTGCAACACATGACAATGCTGAGTGCGGAGATTTCTTTGTTGTTGTTTTTTGTTTGTTGTTTAACGTTGCATTAGTAATATTCCACCTGTATGACGGCGGTCAGGGAAAGTAATCGAGTCTGGACCAGACAATCCAGTGATTGATGTCATGAGGTACGATGACATGCATCAACCAAGTCAGCGAGTCAGACCACCCGAACCTGTTAGTCGCATCTTACGACAAGTATGCGTTGTTGAGGACCAACTCTTACCCGAATCTTCACGGGTGTAGAACTCTTTGACAACTATTGAAGACAATAAGTATATTTTTTTAAATCATTCAGATGCGACTGCACGTTTTGTGATCAATTTACAAGAGCAAAACATGCAAACATATTTAATAACAGACTTTGAACATGTTAAAACTATTTCTTCAGTAATTGTAACGATAGGAAAGACCTAGACTGACAATTAGAAATAAAGTTATCTTTTTCAACAATATACAAAATTAAAAGAATAAAATCCAAATGGAGCCCAGAACAATCCTTTATCTGATAGCTGAGGCAATCTAGACTTGCCAAATCATTATAAACTCGAGTTGGATTCCTTCCTAGGGTTTGGGAGACTAGGATTTGGGGGTTTGACTCCAAGGAATGAGAACTAATAAAATTAAATTGAAAATTAATTCAGGGATGACAGTTACTTAGTTGGAGGTTTGTAAAGATCCAGATAACAGTTCAGTGGGTATAAGGTTATTGAAACCTCGAAAACAAGTTTGTGAAAGAAACATGAGAAGCGGCGAGTATAGAGTATAATATAACGCACTATAGGGGTCTTTATAAAAAAAACAGGGGGTTTAAATTCAGTTAAAGAGTTACATGGCTTTGTTTTAAAAAGTCCGATTAAAGGTTTCAGGATACTATCAATCTTAACTGTGACATTGATGTTCCCGCATAAATTTTAATAGGCTATTTTTTAAAGTGTCGTTTAACTAACTCACTCACTCACTCTTACCTGAGATAGTCATCGTTCCAGAGTTTGTATGCCGGGTACTTGAAACTAGGGTTGTTTAACGCCGACCTCAATAACACAGGTTGACCTGGTCTCACAAACCACTCGTAGAAATACTGCGGCGTGGGTATACCCTCCATTACTGGGATGTCGTGCAAAGGGGGATAACTCCCCAGGGGTTTCAAGTGACCTTGGAATTGGACACCTTCAGTTGCACAGAACGTCATCAATGTCGCATACACAATCGTTGTTACAACACAGGACACCGTCAACGTCGATGCCGACACATACACCATTGTTGATGAAATAGGCGCTGCAGTTGCTGATCGTGTCTAAATCTATATCCCACTTTTGTCGAGATTCAATACTGTATTTGTATAAAAGCGGGGTATCTGTTTAACAACCCCTGTCAACTGCTAGCAAACGCTGGCCACAATCATCCCACTCAGTAAATCACAACGTTTTAGTCACCCAAGACAATAAATGCATTTTAGATAATACACAATGGTTTTATGACGCCGATCTTTGCACGACCTTCCCCATGTGAGGCGGATGTGCCGCCAGATGGCGCTGAACAAGGTGTGATACTCCGTGATGACGTTTCTGACGCATCAGCCGCAGGTGTCGCTAATGATGGTTTCGCCAAGTTCACTGTAAGTGATGTTGCTGTCTGCCCACGTATACCCGAGCTACTATTTTAGCCGCATGTCTGATGGATAAGAGAACAACACTAACAATATAAATACAGGTCTATTAGGCGACGTTTTACTGTTTAATCCCTACTTAATGATATCAATAATTCATTTTTAACAAAATGAATTATTGATATCACAATGCAAGTAAAGGTTAATTATCTACTACTAATGCATTATATTTATGATGTCATAATTACATATACATATTCACATACACACACACGCACACACACACAGACACACGCACACACGCACGCACACACACACACACGCACACGCACGCACGCGCGCGCACACACACACACACACACACACACATACACACAGATACACATTTCGTCCTACGCTAACCATGCAGTGAAGTTTGGAAAATACATCAGCAACAATAAACATATCAATTGAAATGAACATCGTCACGTGAACCTGAGTCAAGTGGGCGGGAGGCAGGGTCGCCACGTGTGTACTATTAGTGACGGAGATGTATTAGCTGTTGTCGCCCCCGGGGTTACGTTCACACACGTTGTCAGACACATGTTGCCTGGGTGGGGGAGAGACGACACCTAGCTGGGCTGGGATTGTCCAATACCTGTGTCAGGCTGACACATCGACGCCAGTTCCTGGTAGGATCTTCACAAACGCACGTACACCGCATCTGTTTGTCGAGATTATGAAAACAATATTGTTGTTCTCGTAAACATTTTGTGATTGTGTGTGTTTTGAATCTAAATTGAAATTTCAAGGGAACAGAAAGTTTTCTGCATGTTTGTTTGTTTGTTTTCTCAATGTTTTAATTTCCCAAAATAACAGTAGTACAAGATATATTTACCCGTGAAGATCCGGGTTAGAATAGATCTTCAGCAACTCCTGCTTGCTGAAAAAGGACTATGCTTGTCATAAGTCGCGACAAACGGGATCGGGTGGTCAGGCTCGCTGACTTGGTTGATGCATGGCATCGTATCCCAATTGCGTGGATCAACGCTCATGACATCACTCACTGGTCCAGACTCGCTTATTTACAGACCGCCGTCATAAAGCTGGAATATTGCTGAGTGTGGCGTTAAAGAACAAACAAAACAAAATATATTAAAGTGTACATAAAACACCGTCTAAATAATTGTGATACAAAACAAAATTACATATTCTCATATTACGAGCATCTCTTGTCACAGGAGCATTAGCACCAAACTATAATTTGAACATGTTATGAATCTTGTTATTTCATAATATCTGATTATTTTTATGAAAATTGTTTTTTCCAAAACAACCTTGTGCATTACTGTTATATTTACTGATGCAATATACCAATATCCCCATTACTGTTATATTTACTTATGTAATATTCTCAATATCCCCATTACTGTTATATTTGCTTATGTAATATTCTCAATATCCCCACAACTGTTATATGTGCTGATGCAATATTCTCAATATCCCCACAACTGTTATATTTACTGATGCAATATTCTCAATATCCCCATTACTGTCATATTAACTGATGTATTATTCTCAATATCCACATTACTTGTATAGTTACTGATGTAGTATTCTCAATATACCCCTTACTGTTATATTTACTGATGCAATATTCTCAATATCCCCATTACTGTCATATTAACTGATGTATTATTCTCAATATCCACATTACTTGTATAGTTACTGATGCAATATTCTCAATATACCCCTTACTGTTATATTTACTGATGCAATATTCTCAATATCCCCATTACTGTTATATTTACTGATGCAATATTCCCAATATCTCCTTTGCTGTTTGATTATTTACTCATGATCTGATGTAAAATGTTCACCTTGAAGACAAAGTATAAGAGAATTATTGAGACCTCTACAGTGTAGCTATAGTATTCTAAATTGCCCGTTCAAATATTCAGTGAAGCATATGGCAAGTCGATATATGACGTATTTTACTGCACACAGAATTCAAAACATCTTTATTTGTACACACAATGTTTCAGAATATAGACTGTAAATGCAGTCTGTAAGTGTTTGAACCAATAATAACACCTTCATGTTTTTCTCTAACCGAAGCCTCCATAGTTATGTTTGTTTGTTGTTTCACGCCACACTCAGCAATATTCCAGTTATATGACGGCGGTCTGGACCAGATAATCCAGTGATTGACATCATGAGCATCGATCCACGCAGTTGGGACACGATGACATGCATCAACCAAGTCAGCGAGCCCGACCACCCTATCCCGTTAGTCGCCTACTTACTACAAGCAGAGTTGTCTTTTACGGCAAGCATGGGTTGCTGAAGACCTATTCTAACCCCGTTTTATATGTACTGACATGCAAGCCCTAATATATTCTCAAAGAAAATATATCTACCTGTTTAAACACCACACCAAACGGTACGCCATTAGTTTCCAGTGTAAATAGCTGTTGGTGTTGGCACGTTCATGAAGATCAGACATACATGACATATGGGCGAATGTGTTGCCTTAAGTTTCACGAAGTTATTGAACGTATTTCTACTGTAAGGTTAATAAAAACAACATAATTCGTCTTTTAGTGAATGTTTTATTTTCAGATACATGATCATACAAAACAGGTGTAGATCTGTAAGAAGAGATGTTTTAGCTTGAGTAATGAAATACCCCGTGCATCAGCGTGTGTGTTCCCTGGTGGAGCAATCGTGAGCATCAATGTAACCCGGAAGTAGAATTAAAGAGCCCCATGTTATGTTGATGTTTAATTTACTCTGTAAATTTGCATAATGACCAATAGTTGCATCGGTTTTACTGTTTAAAATGTCCGTTCAGAATGGCCAGTGAATTCCTAGCTCAGAATCAACCTCAAGAACAATGGTTCGTCGTAATGCTGATGTTCTTTATTCCCCAGAAGCGAACCCAGCAATGAGCTGATTGAATGTCAAACTTAATTACATTTATATGATACAATTCTAAATAGCAAAACACACTTCACCACTCTGTATGCATATACAGATATACAGATCTAGACGTTGCAAAATTCATTTAAACTGAAGTTTTGTGCTTTTTATGCCTCAACACGACTTCCTGATATAATTGACTTCCTTGTCGGTGGAAGTACAGTTTATTGATTCCGGTCGGTTGTGTAATATATGACGTTATACAATCTTTAAAGAATGTTATGAATCTGTGACTTGAGTTTTGTAACGTTGTTTTAAACATTATATCAGGTATAACACGGCCAGTAAGCTTCATGTGAAATATATACACTGGAACCCGTTTGCCACTGTAGTGAAACATAGGTGCGTTTGTGCGTTGCGCGCATGTGATAGTGTGTGCGATTATGTGTGTTTCTGCATATGTGTGTGTATAGATACTGAGTGTTATTTCTGCGCCATGCAGACACAGATAAATACAGCAAACCACTATAAATGCTTGAACGGATCTTCCAATGACTGACGTGTAGATGGTATTACAAACTGTTAGCGATATCTTCTAAAGTTCGTCTCTTGTCATGGCGTTCTCCTGTTGGTCGTTCGATGTGAGAAACGTTTCCATCATGTCTTTCTTGCTCCGGTATTCTTCCCGGAAGTCGTTGCCGAAACCTTTGGGGTACATCGTGAACACCTGCTCCACGTTGAACGTGTACAGCTCGTCCCACGTCCACACGCCGTCCCCGTTGACGTCAATATGGTGGAATATCTGAAACCACGACGTCAAGGTAAGTCTGCTTGCAGGGAACCGATTAAAAAAACGAGCGGAACTCTACGAGCGTCGTAACTCTCTTTGTTTAAAATAGGCTTACAACAGTCGTATGGCTAAAAGTACTTTGTGACTGGTTCGTAATTAACACATTTGGATTTATCCCATTATCATCATCATCAGTAGTAGTAGTAGTAGTAGTAGTAGTAGTAGTAGTAGTAGTAGTAGTGGTGGTAGTAGTAATACCAATTCGTGCCAAATTGACGTGGGACGAAATGTTACAGGTCTTAGACATTTACAACTTTTGTGAAACCCACATGCACGGTTCTAACAAACCAAAACAAATAATGAGGCTGAAGCTTGGATTCGATCCCGTGATTATAGATTAGTGGCGCGTCTAAAGGTCGCAACCCTGCACAACGAACTCTCGTGCGTGAGGCGACTGGGCCAAGGTATATACAGAAAGGGCATGACCTTTGAACTGGCGTCCCGGTCAGTTGAGATCTCCCTCCATCTCTCCAGAAACTCCTCCTCCGTCAGACTCTCCTCCATGTGCAACGGCTCAAACACCAGGTCCCTGCAACATCGACAACACGCACATGTTTTATAGTCTACCGGGCTTATGTGGAGTTTGTTAGTGTACGGCATTTACGTATTCGTGGAGGAAGTGAAAAATACCTCTCGTCATATGAACAGGTTAAGACTATACCGTAAATTATATAATAAATCTGGAGGAAACCTGCAAAACTTGTGAACATGCGAGTGACCGACCATTTGATATTCCGGGGGTGGAGAGTGTGGGAGGAGGGGCAGGGCGGCTGGGATTTTGTATTGAGATTAGATATTTTTCAGATACGGCTGCAAATCCTGATGGGTTTTTTAATTAACACTATGAGAAAATCCCAGGGCTCAGTAAAGCTTTCAAAACGTTGCCTGGTAGGCGTGTGAAGTACAGGTTTTCAAATTTGTCGCATCAGAGACAAAACTGATGGATGATGCAATTCCATATTTCGACGTGTACCGAATGTTCCCGTGTGGTTTTCAGGTGGACAATTTACTTTCCTTTGCATGGAAAGCCACCGTGTGAGAGTATTTGGAACAGTCCATCTGTAGCGGAGAAGGAGGCTTTTCCATTTAAAACCTGAGCCTGTGGACCTTACCTGAGACCACTGACCTAACCTGAGGTCGTCGACCTTACCCGAGATCGTGGATCTTACCTGAGACCGTGGACCGTAGCTGAGATCGTAGACCTTACCTGAGACCGTGGACCTTAGCTGAGATCGTAGACCTTACCTGAGACCATGGACCTAACCTGAGACCGTGGACCGTAGCTGAGATCGTAGACCGTACCTAAGAACGTGGACCCTACCTGAGACCGTGGACCTTACCTGAGGTCGTCGACCTTACCCGAGATCGTGGATCTTACCTTAGACCGTGGACCGTAGCTGAGATCGTAGACCTTACCTGAGACCGTTGACCGTAGCTGAGATCGTAGACCGTACCTAAGAACGTGGACCCTACCTGAGACCGTGGACCTTACCTGAGGTCGTCGACCATACCTGAGCGACTCCTGGAGCTGTCCGAAGCCGTACTTCGTGAGGGAGCCCTGCGTCTTCCACGTCTCATCGGCAGTGCAGTCAGTAGTGTTGAACCAGTATAGATGGTGCAGCCAGATGTTTACCGCCAAGTTCCGACTGCCGAATGAGTTCACTTGGTGGTACCATCTAAGATAAGATGAGAATTACAAATACACAGGCGAGCAACTTCAGTGTGTTTGTTTCTCTGTCTGTATTGAAGATATTATCTAATACCTGACATCCAATACCAGCAGGTTTCCTTGGCTGTTGTGATCCACATCTTATACTTGTATATGTCGACACATCTTATACCTGTATATGTCGACACATCTTATAGTTGTATATGTCGACACATCTTATACCTGTATATGTCGACACATCTTATACCTGTATATGTCGACACATCTTATACCTGTATATGTCGACACATCTTATACTTGTATATGTCGACACATCTTATACCTGTATATGTCGACACATCTTATACCTGTATATGTCGACACATCTTATACTTGTATATGTCGACAAATCTTATACCTGTATATGTCGACACATCTTATACCTGTATATGTCGACACATCTTATACCTGTATATGTCGACACATCTTATACTTGTATATGCCGACACATCTTATACCTGTATATGTCGACACATCTTATACCTGTATATGTCGACACATCTTATACTTGTATATGTCGACACATCTTATACCTGTATATGTCGACACATCGTATACCTGTATATGTCGACACATCTTATACCTGTATATGTCGACACATCTTATACTTGTATATGTCGACACATCTTATACCTGTATATGTCGACACATCGTATACCTGTATATGTCGACACATCGTATACCTGTATATGTCGACACATCTTATACTTGTATATGTCGACACATCTTATAACTGTATATGTCGACACATCTTATACCTGTATATGTCGACACATCTTATACCTGTATATGTCGACACATCTAATACCTGTATATGTCGACACATCTTATACCTGTATATGTCGACACATCTTATACCTGTATATGTCGACACATCTTATACCTGTATATGTCGACACATCTTACACCTGTATATGTCGACACATCTTATACCTGTATATGTCGACACATCTTATACCTGTATATGTCGACACATCTTATACCTGTATATGTCGACACATCTTATACTTGTATATGTCGACACATCTTATACCTGTATATGTCGACACATCTTATACCTGTATATGTCGACACATCTTATAGTTGTATATGTCGACACATCTTATACCTGTATATGTCGACACATCTTATACCTGTATATGTCGACAAATCTTATACCTGTATATGTCGACACATCTTATACTTGTATATGTCGACACATCTTATACCTGTATATGTCGACACATCTTATACCTGTATATGTCGACACATCTTATACCTGTATATGTCGACACATCTTATACCTGTATATGTCGACACATCTTATACCTGTATATGTCGACAAATCTTATACCTGTATATGTCGACACATCGTATACCTGTATATGTCGACACATCTTATACCTGTATATGTCGACACATCTTATACCTGTATATGTCGACACATCTTATACCTGTATATGTCGACACATCTTATACTTGTATATGCCGACACATCTTATACCTGTATATGTCGACACATCTTATAACTGTATATGTCGACACATCTTATACCTGTATATGTCAACACATCTTATACCTGTATATGTCGACAAATCTTATACCTGTATATGTCGACAAATCTTATACCTGTATATGTCGACACATCTTATACTTGTATATGTCGACACATCTTATACCTGTATATGTCGACACATCTTATACCTGTATATGTCGACACATCTTATACCTGTATATGTCGACACATCTTATACCTGTATATGTCGACACATCTTATACCTGTATATGTCGACACATCTTATACCTGTATATGTCGACACATCTTATACTTGTATATGTCGACACATCTTATACCTGTATATGTCGACACATCTTATAACTGTATATGTCGACACATCTTATACCTGTATATGTCGACACATCTTATACTTGTATATGTCGACACATCTTACCTGTCGTCTTACTTTGATAAATCCTCTTCAACTCCAAGTGCGAGTGGCGATGTTTAAGGCAACTTTCATCTTTCACAGGCGATGGGTCACGATGTGACTGACATACTGCCGACGTGAACTTCAATCATAACTCACTCACGTTAATACGGAGGATTCTAATTCCAGTGCCAAAAACAAGTCTGATTTATGATCTGCACATTCTCCTAACGATTCCCCTTTCTGGGACTTGTGGTTTCTCAGAAGATTCTCAAACATTTTTCACAATATTATTTTCTGTGAATGACAGCCCTTATATCCTAGACACATGCCAACGTTTGTAAACACGTGTACATCACAGTTCTAGATGTATACTTACAATACGCTGCCGTCCCTGCACAATACAAACCTAGACACTTGGTCTGTACATCCGTGTGTATGTCTGTCTGTCTGTCTATATCGGTCTGTCTGCCTGTCTATGTCTGTCTGTCTGCCTGTCTATATCTGTCTGTCTACCTGTCTATATCTGTCTATCCCCCTGTCTATATCTTTTGGTCCGCATGTGTGTCTATATCTGTCTGTCTGCCTGTCTATATCTGTCTGCCTGCCTGTCTATATCTGTCTGTCTGCCTGTCTATATCTGTCTGCCTGCCTGTCTATATCTGTCTGCCTGCCTGTCTGTCTCTGTCTATCCGTCTTTCTATATCTGTCTGTCCGTCTGTCTCTATCTGTCTGTCTAACTGTCTATATCTGTCTGTCTGCCTGTCTATATCTGTCTGCCTGCCTGTCTGTCTCTGTCTATCCGTCTGTCTATCCGTCTGTCTATATGTCTGTCCGTCTGTCTCTATCTGTCTGTCTACCTGTCTATATCTGTCTATCCCCCTGTCTATATCTGTCTGTCCGTCTGTCTATATCTGTCTGCCTGCCTGTCTGTCTCTGTCTATCCGTCTGTCTATATCTGTCTGTCCGTCTGTCTCTATCTGTCTGCCTGTCTGTCTCTGTCTATCCGTCTGTCTATATATGTCTGTCCGTCTATATCTGTCTATCCGTCTGTCTCTATCTGCCTGCCGGCCTGTCTCTATCTGTCTGTCTACCTGTCTATATCTGTCTGTCCGTCTGTCTATACCTTTCTGTCCGCATGTGTGTCTCTGTCTGTCTCTCTGTATGTCTGTCTGTATCGGTCTGTGTGGAATTGGTTTATTAAAAAGTCGTAGTAGTTTTTCGAGACTATAACCGTCACATTGAGAAGACGTGTATATATTCTAGTCGGACCAGACCAACCATAGCCATGTCAATTGTAGTAACAACAGAGACACCTTGGCTACTTCCCCGCCATCATCAGTAGTTAGCTGTGCATCATAATATCATTGAACCAGGAAGTGGCACGGTGTTAAACCACCAGTAACACCATGCTAGCGGGACAGCAGTACGTTTCCTCCAAACCTGTGTGTAAGCCCACGTTAACCCGCTACGTCGGTCGCCACTGTTGGGGCGGCAATCTCCTTACAGGAACCAGGTGAGTTAAACACACTGGGACACTTCAGGTTTACACACCGCATGCGCATTGCACGAGGAAAACCACTGATGTTGTATTTCACAATCGTCACAACCAAATGACGACAGTGGGAGGGTGTTGAATATTGTCAGGAATGCTACCTGTAGTCGGTGGGATTGGTCCTGAATGTCTTGGTACACTAATCCTCCATGTGTTGTCAATTAAACTTGACCCGTGAAGATAAGGGTTAGAATAGGTCTTCGGCAAGCCATGCTTGCCATAAAAGGCGACTATGCTTTTCACCACTGTGTATTTATTCGGGCAAGATTATTGTTGTTAAACTCTTCCCAACGAAAGGTATTTTTGTTCAGGTAATACATATATTTGCATCAACTGAATGTCCACAGATGGCGCTGGAGTCGAACGAAAGCGCTGATTGTCATTCTTTTCAAGACGTCATTTCCTCAAAATATTCCCGTCTCAGACACGGAAGGACAGCTATGATCGTCCATATTGATGTGGTACAAGGTCTGGAGGCAGGAAGATAACGATTCATGAACACTGTCTGACCAGGCCCGGAGTAACCGAGAGAGAGGCTAACATCAACGCTGTGCCGTGATGTTTGTTTGTTGGTTAACGCCGCACAATATTCCAGCTATATGACGGCGTGATTGACATCATGAGCATCGATCCACGCAAATGGGAAACGATGACATGCAGCAACCAATTCAGCCAGACTGACCACCCGATCCCGTTAGTCTCCTCTTACGACCATGCATGTGTGTACAGTGGTCGTACTACAGTTGGTTTCTGTTTTCTACTGAACACTTTAGATTGCATCAGGGAAAATAGAATATCTAACAGAATAAGATAGCCTGCTTACTCCCAACATTCTACATTGGATATTGATATTAAATTAACAAATTATTGATGGAGATGGTACTCTCCACAATAAAATAATAATATATCACAAGTCTTTTATTTGATATGTTATTTGTTGTGTCAGCTATGGGTAATGCCCATGTTTTTTTCATGCAATGACGTTACAATATGCATGTCTATCTGTTTGGGCTAATAGACGGTCGAATTCCTACCACTGTGAAATTGTCGCCTGGACAGGTGCGTGTGGTGTGACTCAGCGTGTAGTGATTTTAGTTGTAAAAATCATCTTCCGGTTGTGATTACTATAGTCATGATCTAGTTGAGCAATGCAACTCTAAATTTTGGTAACAATAAACAGTTGATGTTTAGAGCCGAAAGCCATAAACAGTTTTTCTTGGTTTGTTTTCGCATTTCAATCGTAACAATTATTTATAAAGCCTTCTGATTTCCTTTTAGGAAATTTTAATTTTATGTATTCCATTTATTCCTTTTTAATTAGTATTTATTTTCCAACAGATAAACACAATTCAAAATTTTTTCGTATTTGACCAAAACAATATGAAAGTGAAAGATTTACATTTTACAATAAAGCAGTTTGGGCGCTGCTTCAATTAAGGCGCTACAAAACCTTCCATTGCCTGAAAATAATACACCCAAGTAGAGATACCGTTTAACAATCTCAATCTCACAACCTTGCAGTGTAACCTTAAGGGGTTTTTCCTCACGTACCCTTTTGAAAATATCACAACCTTTGTTTTATTAATATTGACTTTTAGCCTCCATGCTTCACAATAATTTCCAAAAGTATCTAAAGCTTTCTGTAAGTCTGCAGCAGTCTCCGCCTGTACAACAGTGTCATCTACGTAAAGAAGCAGGAATAACTTCATAAGAACACCAAGATGACGCTCGATGTAATTATTCAGAAAATCTAATCCCTTCACCTCATTTTCTTTCAGAAAGTATTCCAAATCGTTAATATAAAGCGCAAACAGAAACGGAGACAGATTTTCACCTTGGCGAACTCCGGCATAGCATGTGAAAAAAGTTATGTCATTATCATACATAACACACGACTGAATATTCTGATACATGTTGTAAATTAACCTAAAACATTTCCCACTAATATCACTTTTAATCATTTTAAGCCATTACCCAGATCTCCACACTGTGTCGAACGCTTCACTAGAATCAATGAAAGCAAAAAATAACTTTTTTTACCAGATGATTGATAGATATCGATAAGGGACTTAAGGACGTTTTGTGATCAATAGTTGAATGGTTTTTCCTTTTCCTTTTTCCCCAGTTAGACCCGTGATTTCTGAATAAGCTTGTAACCGATTATTTATGATAGCTGCGAAAAGCTTGCCCAGGCAGCTTACAAGTGAGATACCGCAGTTGTTCTTCCGGCTCAGTGGGATTGCCTTTGTTTTTATAGAATGGCTTCATGTAACCGAGAAGCCAGGCACCTGGGATAACACCATGCAAAAATGTTACATTAAATAATTTCAGGTAAACAGGCATCAAAGAGTGACAAGTGCCTTTGATATATTCGTTGCATATATTATCCAATCCACAACTTTTATTACATTTCCACCTATTGCAAGCAGACCTTATCTCTTCTTGTGTAGTGGGTATATGAAGATTATCATTGCTTGGTAGATCATCAATGTCAATATCGACTGCTCCTATTGACTGTTCATTCAAACTTTTAAAATATTCATACAACGTGTCAATACTTATACTTTCATGATATTCTTTTTCACGAAATGATTTTAAGATATTCCAAAATGTTTTGGGGTCCTTGTTCTTGGTCACTCTGTATGTTCGCACACTTCTGCTTGTATGCATAGCGCGATCGTTTTAACACTTTACTGTACGTTATAGCAGCTGTTTGAAAGCATTGTCTATTGTGTTGAGTATTTTTTTTACATTTGTGGTAATTTTTGCGAACTGTATAGCACTTTGCGTCGAACCAAGGCTGAGATGATTCTTCAGATTTTCTTTTCGTGTTACTCGTTTTAAAGCCAAATGTGTTTCCTGCTGAGGAGCTAAATTAATCACATAGGTGTTGTGTTATCTTTTTCATTTCATCTTTAAGATTGTCAGTTGTAAGTTATTTACAAAATCGGTGTCGAATTGAGCACAAAAATATCTTTTAGGCTAGGATCCCATTTTCGTTTTTGGCATGCTTTTTCATTACTAGATTGTGTACTGTCACCATTCGCATGATGTGAGATATCTGATTGGATGTTTACAAGAAGTTCAATTCGACAATGGACGTCTGAGAAAATGGGATCGAACTCTTTAACGATAAATTCCTTAAAGAAAGGAAACAAGTCTGCAGAGGATAGGATGTAATCGACTACGCTAGAATTTTTTTACAAGTCAGTTTTACTTTCTTATCTGTCCCAACTCGACTGTCATGACGCGGGCCATCTGTAGCCGACGGCGTATGTACAGTCACGGGCCATTGTTCCAAATCCTCCAAGAATCCGCTCCATTGTAACCCGTCGTCTCACTATTGCACGGCCCGCATATTGTGGGGATTCCCCTGTTGTTTTCACAGAGTTATACATTTTCCACTACTGATAGATGTTGAGTTGAGACCGGAAAGTAGATAGTTCACTACAGCCATGGGGGTGCTCTGGTAGACTGTTCCAGGCAATGGCGGCTGAGTGTGAAAACGTGAGTTCGGTATAAAGGGGTATTGACACACTTACCTATATGGTATAAAGAGACAGTCCCCTTTCTCCATGTGTGCCTTGAACCAGGGGAGATCACTCAAGCGGGGAAACTTGTACATATCTACTCGGTCCACGTCTACCGAACTGTAGGACCCATCCCACACATAGCCGTCAGCCTCGATATCAGGGCCGTATTTCTGGTGTCAAAACAACAGATCTGTTACACAGGATTGCTAATGTTCTAAAAAGTAAAAATGTAACTCAACAATTGCTATAGTTAATGTCCATTATGTATATCGTCTACATTAAACAATACGAAAGTGAAACGTTGAGCTTATTATCAACGCAAAGGCGATGGTGGGCACCGAGGTGGCTAAAACGTCCATGCCGTGGTCTGATCTGATGGTCGTGGTTTCGAATCCTAGACTCGCCCTGATTACTCCTCTAAGGTGAGATGAAATGGGGTTTAACGTCGCATCCAAGATTATTCAATCTCATTAAAATCAGATCCTAGTTTTCGCTACCGCTAAACAAAGATCTGAGGACATCCAATTACGGGTCACGTCAGAACGACCTTTCGCGAATTTTGACCGACCAATGAAATGACTGACAAGAAATCGACATTAGCCAATCAGAAGGCAGCTTTTGCGAGCTTTACGACACTAGTTTCAAACTGGCGACTACGCTTCGAAACATATTTTGACGTATTCTCGATTAAAAAAAATTAAAACTGACAATTAAGAAGAACATTCTAGAATGGCTTATAGATGGCCTAGATTGTATGGATATAATCATAAAACCCGTAACTGTCGTTCGGAATACCCCGTGTTAAATATTTTGTGGTTGCATGATTAGAAAACACATTCCGACTGTCACTTTCATGATCTGGTAAGCGACGCACTGATTGGTTGGATGAAAGGTCGTTCTGACGTGACCCTAAATGGGATGTTCTCAGATCTTTGTTTAGCAAAGCGAGAACTAAGATCTGATTTTAATGAAATTGAAGATTATTGTACTTATATGTGTGTGTCTGCCTGTACCAGCCCGGACTAATGCCGATCTCCGAGCCGATCAGTCCTTGTTTGAGCCTCTTAATACCGAGCGCCAGACAGCGTAACAACAAGTACCATCTTTTAACATTTTTTGGTATGACGTGGCCGGGGATCGAACCCCGGACCTTCCACTCTAAGACCTGCATCACTTGGGACTACCTCCCACGTGACCTCACACGAGGTGATGTAGATGTAACACTGTTTCAGTGGTGTTCTTCACAACTCACTCACTCACTCACTCACTCACTCACTCACTCAGAGGTGGTAGAGATTGTTCACCTTATCGTAGAAGACGAGGTCCTTGGTGCCGTCCAGGAGGCAGTTGATGTTGTCGAACTCGTCCATGTGGAGGACGGACTTGGTGCCGCCGCTGCTGAACCACGCTATCGTCTTCGTGAACAGCTTCTGGAAACCTCCACAGCGTAGACTGTAAGGGACATCCACGTCCTCTGTAACACACATGCAGGTTACACTGGGCAGTAGGGCAGACCATCGCCATGTATGAGTGCTCATAATGTATAGAATAAACTGGCAGCGCCTTTTTCGTGCTTATTGAAACCTAGGTAATTCCAGCTATCTGTGAATAATCGAGTCTGGACCAGACAATCCAGTGATCGATATCGTGAGCATCGATCTTCGCAACTGGGATACGATGACATGCATCTACCAAGTCGGCGAGGCTGACCACATACTCTAGCCCGGATCTTCACGGGTCTGAGAACTAAGAGAGTAAACGTCCTCAAAAGAATTTATTATATATACTTCAGTGTGAAAGACCTTTTTGGAACTGAGAAAAGTGATGCTTGCTAATTCATTGCATTGAACATAACACTTGATATTTCACTGCAGTGAACATAACACTTTGACGGAACTATTTTCATACAAAAGTTACCTCCCCGCAGATTGTCCCCCTTTATAGTAAGTGTCTGGCACGTACACAAACTGTTGACTTCCTTTTAGTGAGTGAGTGAGTGAGTTGGGTTGAACGCCGCTTTTAACATTATTCCAGTTATATCACGGAGTGTCAGCTTAATGTGGGTGGAAAGCCCGAAGTGATGCAGGTCTCAGACGTATACCACTTCGGTGAAACCCACGATCACGGGTATGTTGCTGACAAACCTAGAAACATAATTGGGGCGAACCGGGATTCGAACCCACAATCATAGGTTTCTGGCGTGCCCAAGGGACGCAACTCTGCACAGCGAATCGCCCGTGCCCCCTGACTTCCTTTTAACGTTAGCTCCATATTGACAAGGCAACTTAATGACAGCTGGTCATTTATGGAGTTAATATCTTGCCGTTTGTTATTTCCTTGAAAACGTTTCGTTATAAACTGTAAATCTCTCATTTAATTCGTCAATCGAGGCTGTTCGTCTCGCTAAGCGCCATTTTGTTACTTGACCAGCGTGTATTCCTTTGCTTCGTATGATAAAGAATTTTAGAGACCTCAAATAGTTTTATTACTTCTGTTTATATTGTTTAAGATTGTACGACTACACACAAAAATATATAATAAACATGAAATACCATGTGTCTCGTGAAATATCACGTTTCTCTCATCCCGTGACGGGGGAAGGAGCTACCGAGAGAAAGGGGAGGTGAGCTACAGTACCTTTCATGGCGGCAGTGAGGTCCTGCACCAGGTACACGTCCGCCTGGCGGTACTCGTCCAGGAAGTGACGGAGGGTCTGGGACTTCAGCTCCTTGGTACGATCCTCCTTCTTCCCCGTCTCCACGTCCACCTCGTAGTGCCCGAACCTCTCCCTGCACGGAACCAAAAGCAGTAGAACCATACTGAGGACACAGGTGCACGGAGTAATCCAGCGAAACATAGAAGTACACACTACGTGGAGCAGAATACTACAGGAACGGGGTATAACGTACAACAGACACGTGGGAAAGGGCACTGCAGGGTCGGAATACCTGACGGGGAGCAGAATACTACTCGGGGAACAGAATATTCCAAGTAGATATAATAGTACATGGTGAACGGAATACTACATTAGGAGGAGAACACTACATCGGGAACAGAAAACTATATCAGGACCAGTATACTACATCAGGAACAGAATACTACACCAGGACCAGTATACTACATCAGCAACAGAATACTACATCAAACAGAATACTACATTAGGAACAGAACACTACATCAGGAACAGAGGACTGCATCGGGAACAGAATACTACCTCAGCAACAGAATGCTACATCAGGGACAGAATACTACATACGGAACAGAATGCTACATCAGCAACAGAATACTACACCAAGAACAGAATACTACATCAAGAACAGAATACTAAATCAGCAACAGAATACTATATTAGGAACAGGATACTGCACCAGGAACAGAATACTACATCAAGAACAGAATACTACATTAGGAACAGAATACTGCACCAGGAACAGAATACTACATCAGGAACAGAACACTCAATCAGGAACAGAACACTACATTAGGAACAGAATACTGCACCAGGAACAGACTACTACATTAGGAACAGACTACTACATCAGGAACAGAATACTACATCAGGAACAGAATAATATACCAGGACCAGTATACTACATCAGGAACAGAATACTACATCAGGAACAGAATACTACAATACTACATCAAGAACAGAATACTACCTCAGCAACAGAATACTACATCAGGAACAGAACACTACATCAGGAACAGAATACTACATCAGGAACAGAACACTATATCAGGAACAGAACACTATATCAGGAACAGAATACTACATCAGGAACAGAACACTACATCAGGAACAGAACACTACATCAGGGACAGAATACTATATCAGGAACAGAACACTATATCAGGAACAGAATACTACACCAGGAACAGAATACTACACCAGGAACAGAATACTACACCAGGAACAGAATACTACACCAGGAACAGAATACTACCTCAGGAACAGAACACT